CCACATCACACTGCTGACTCATGTTTAGCCTGCAGTCAACCAGCACCCCAAGGTCCCTTTCACAAGTGCTGCTCTCCAGCCACTTGTCCCCTAACCTGTACTTACGACAGCTATTCCTATGCCCCAAGTGCAAGACCTTGCACTTACCCACATTGAGCGCCATCCTGTTGTCTCCTGCCCACTTCCATAGTCTGTCCAGATCCTTTTGGATCTGGAGCACCTGCTCCTCAGTTGTGGCCACTGCCCCGGTTTTAGTATCGTCTGCGAATTTGATCAGCAGACTGTTCACCCCTTCTTCCATGTCATTTATGAAAAGGTTAAACAGGATCTGCCCCAGGACAGAGCCCTGGGGAACCCCGCTTGTCACTGGCCGCCATCCTGACGATTCCCCACTAATGATTACCCTCTGCTTTTGGTCAGTCAACCATGCCCTAATCCACCAGACAGTGCTTTGGTGTATCCCAAAACTCCTCAGTTTCTCCACCAGGATATCATGGGGCACTTTGTCAAAGGCCTTGCTGAAATCCAGGTAAACCACATCCACTGCATCCCCTCCATCTAGCCATCTCAAAACTTTGTCATAGAATTCCACAAGGTTTGTCTGGCAGGACCTGTTTTTGCAGAAGCCGTGTTGTGTGGCTGCCAGCCTCCCTTCCCTGTCTAGCATCTCTAGATCTCTCTCTATTATGAGCCTTTCCATTGTTTTTCCTACAATGGACGTAAGGCTAACAGGTCTGTAATTTCCCATGTTCCTTCTACTACCCTTTTTGAAAATTGGGACCACTGATGCCACCCTCCAGTCCTCTGGAACTTCACCTGTTCTCCACAAGGCCTCAAAAATGGAGGCCAGTGGGCATGAGAGAACCCCTGTCAACTCTCTAAGTACTCTCGGGTGTAACCCGTCAGGGCCTGGTGCCTTTGTAATGTCCAATGCCCTGAGGAGCCCCTCGACTTCTGTGGGGGGTGACTCTAATCTGTGCCCCTAAGTCCCCGGCCTCATCTAATCTCCTGTGCAGATCTCCTCCATCCAGCTTTGGGGAGAACACAGAGGCAAAATAGTCATTTAGCATCTGTGCCTGTTCCCTCATATCAGTCACTGGATCTCCTTCCTCCTTATTTAGTGGTCCCACCACTTGTCTCCCCTTCCTCTTCCTATTTACATGCTGAAAGAAGCCCTTTTTGTTGCTCTTGATATCCTTGGCAAGTCTCAGCTTGTAATCAGCCTTAGCCTTGCGAAGAATCCTTCTGCAACGGGTCTCCTCCTCCCGGTATACCCTTTTGTCTGTTTGCCCCAGTACCCATTTCCTACGGAGGTTCCTCTTTCATCTAATCCCTCTAAGCACCTCCTTTTGCATCCATGGCGGTGCTCTCCTCCACCTCCCCACCTTACTAACTAGCGGTATCGTCAAGGCTTGCGCCTCCAAAACCTCCCTTTTGAGTGCTATCCATCCCTCCTCAACTCGCTTACGCTCCAGTAACCTATCCCAGGAGACTTTCCCCAGTCTGGCCTTCAGTTGGCCAAAGTTGGCCCTCTTGAAATCCCAGCTTCTAGTGCTTGACCTGCTGCACGTCCCCAGTCCCCTGATCTCAAAGCAAAGGATGGAGTGATCACTCGCATCCAGAGCTCCCCTTATTTGTACTTCATCTATCAGCTCCTCTCTTTTGGTCAAGACCAAGTCAAGGATGTCCCCCCCCCCCCCCCGTGTCGCCTCTCAGACCCTCTGTGTGAAAAATCCTCCCTCTATAGCCTCTAGGAAGCGACATGACCTGACAGTCACCGCCGAATGAGCCTCCCAACTAATATCCGGGAGATTGAAATCTTGCATAATTACTGTGTCTCTCCCCTGAGATATCCTTAGAATCTGGTTTGTCAGGACATCATCCAGGGTCTCAAGTTGACCTGGAGGTGATAACATACCCCCACTGTCAGGTCCCTTTCCCTGTCAAAACCCCTAAGTTTCACCCAGACTGCCTCTGCCGAATCCCCATCTGTGCTGTATTCTATCTCACTGCATTCTATCCCTTCCCTGATGTATAAAGCCATGCCCCCACCCCTCTTTCCCTTCCTGTCCTTTCTAAACAGATGATACCCCTCTATGTTCACATTCCAGACTTGCCTTTCATCCCACCAAGTTTCTGTGACTCCCACCAGGTCATACCCTCCTATTCCCAGGAGAGCTTCAAGCTCTTCCTGCTTATTACCCATGCTCTTAGCACTGGTGTACATGCACCTCAACTCCTTCCCACCGCTTCCTTTCCTTGGAGTTCCCAGCCTCCTCCTTCCTCCCATCCTCCCTGATACCTGGCCCCTCTCTGTAGGAGTCCTGTCAGTCCCTGCAGTACCTCTAAATCCCTGCTCCCAGAGCCCTGATCCTCTCCCCACACTTGTTCAGTGCAGACACATTTCTGGGGGGCCTGAACCCCCCCCCCCCCCCCTTCAGTTTAAAGTCTTCCAGATGAAGCTCGTTAGAGCATCTCCAAAGGACCTTTTTCCCATCCTCGTGAGGTGTAGCCTGTCCCTTGCCAGAAGTCCATTGGCAAGAAACCGAATGCCATGGTCGAGGAACCCGAAACGTTCCTTCTGACACCACACCCTAAGCCGGTCGTTCACCTCGGAGACCCTCCTGTCCATTCCTGGCCCAAATCCCTGGACCGGTAAGATTGATGAGAAGGTCACTTGGGCCTTTAGCTCCCTGAGTTTCGAAGTCCCTGGTGATCCCGACCACACCCTTCCTGGCCACGTCATTTCTGCCCACATGGATCACCAGGAGCAACTGGTGACCCCCAGAGCGTACAAGACGCTCCACTCTGTCCTTCACATGCCGGATGCGTGTGCCTGGCAGGCAGCAAACCTCTCTTGTCTCCAGGTTGGGGCGGCACACCGCTGCCTCAGTGCCCCTCAGCAGGGAGTCCCCAACAACAATCACCCGCCGCCGTGTCTTCCCGGTGGTGGTGGGCGGCCATGCCCTGGCCCTCGCCTTGCTGCTTGTCGTCCCAGGCTGGGGGTCCTTCTGGTCCCCCGAGGCCTCATCAGCCCCAGCCTCCCCAAGCAGAGAGAACCTGTTTCCCAGCTCTAGATTGTTGCCAGGAGGAGGAGGAGGAGGCCGTGCTGGCCTCCTCCTCCTGTGGGTGACATGCCTCCATGTCTCCGCAGCTGCTCTTCCCATGGTCTCTCCCTCAATCCTCTGCCCAGGCCCCCCGGGAGCAGCCCCCCTCTGGAGAGCTCTCTCTGCCCTCAGGCACCTCACCTCCTCCTCTAGCAGGGTCACCAGCTTGCACCGAGGGCAAATGTAACCCTGCCTCTCCTGGGGAAGAAGGGTGAACATGTCGCAGCTGTCGCAGTGGACAGCAACACCCGTGACTCCTGCCAAGGCCATCTCCTGGTCTGCCATTGGGATCCCTTCCGAGACCTTACCTTGGTCCCTTGCCTTGTTTGTCCTGCAGTTCCCCTCACTTGCCCAGTTCTCCCAGACAAAAACCCACACACACACGCAAGGATAAAATAAAATTTAAATTGGAGGAAAAACAAAGCACAGCACAGCACCAAAACAAAAACAAAGAAAAACAAAGAAAGGAAAACAAAGCAATTTAAAAAAACCCCTCAGTGTCCCAGGGAAAGGAGTCTGTGGGCAGCCCGGGCCACAGACAAGGGACAATGCCTTATCAGCCCCTCAGGTCGGTGGCCCCGCCTGTCCGCTTTCTCCTGGCCCCTCTGTCCTCTCTGGCCCCACCTCCCTTCCTCTCTGCTGCACCAGTCCCCTGGCCACTCAGCACTCTCTCCCAGCCTGTGCCTCTGTTGCTCTGCCAAGAGGCAAGAGCCAAAAGTATAAAGACTCAGTACCAGGTGCATCTCTGTGGACCCAATTCCATAATCGGGGTGCCACAACCAAAAAGGACCTTCCCCTTGTGGCCACCTTCCTCACATCTTTTAAAGGTGGCATGCAGAGAAGGACCTCGGTGGATGACCTTAGGATCAGGAAAGCATATATGGGAAGAGACATTCCTTCAGCTATCTAGGCCCTAAACCATTTAGGGCTTCATAAGTCAATTTGAGCACCTTAAAGTGGGCCCAGACTTCAATCAGTGACCACTGTAAATGATAAAAGACTGGTGTTACATGTTCTTGCCTTCCAATCCTTGTTAATAGGCAAGCAACCCTATCCTGTACCAGTTGGAAGAGTTTGGACCATATTCAAGGGCAGCCCCACACACAGCATGTTACAATAGTCCAGACACAAGGTTACCAGTGGATAACTTTTCCTAGGTTCTCCCTGTCTAAGTAAGGACAAAGCAAATTGGCTCTGTGGCCAGGAGCACCTTCTAACTGGTATTCCAGAAATAGCTTTGAGTCCTGGAGTACCCCCAAGCTCCAAACGCTGTCCTTTGTGGGGAGTGCAACCCCGTGCAGAACAGGACAGATACCATCTAGCTGGACAGAAGACTCATGTATCAACAGCACCTCCATCTTGTCTGGATTAAGCTTCAGTTTATTGGCCCTCATCCAGTCCATCACCCTGCTCAGACACTGATTCAGAACTGTCACTGCCTCATCTGGATTAGAAGAGGAAGAGAGGTAGAGCTGAGTGTCATCAGCGTACTGATAACAGTTCAGCCCAAACCTCGGGATAACTTCTCGCAATGTTAAACAGCTCTGCCATGGCACAGAGTCCTCCAAATAAAACCAAAGTAAAAACCTGTAGCATTATAAATATTTAAGAATAAAATAGCACATTTTAAAACAAAACTGGAGGCATAAAAGCCTGAGAAAATAAGTGTTTCCATGGCACTGGACAGACCAGAGAAAACCGCTAGGTAAGGCTTCCTCAGGAGCGTGTTCCACAATGAGTGGGCTAAAATGGAAAAGCCCCACTCATTAGCAGCCATTCACCTTACCTCAATTGGCAGGGATACTTTGACGATGATCTTAAGATATGGGTAGGTATATGGGACAGCATAAGCCTTTGGCCCCAGGTTATTTGCTTAAAGTCCTTGTGAATTGTTAAAGCAGTTTGAATGCATGGCCATTTCAACATTCTGCACCAGTGAATTCCATTGCTGCAAGAGCTGCAGGGATGCTGAGTAAACTTGGTAGTAAACATCTTTGTCTTTCTTAGATCCCCTTCAGTGATGACAGTGACCTGGAAGGCCCTCCAGAAGCTATGCAGGCATCGCAGCTCCCTGCTGCTCAGGAACTGGTGGCTGCTCCCAGACGGAGAGGCCTAAGGTCTGCATCTAGCAGAAAGCTGACACAGTCAAATCTGGCTAAAACGGACGGGTGCAATGCCAGCTTTTCAGCTGACTGCTCCCAGGAGGCAAAGACAAAGTGCCAGGCCGGAAGGCCTTGTGTCAGGAGAGTTGCCAGGCGAGGAAAGCAGCAAGAAGACATCCAGAAAGCTCTTTGTGAAGAAAGAACTTGCCAAGTTCAGAATGAACATACAGGAGGAGAGGAGGAGGAGGAGGAGGAGGAAGACAAGGAAATCTTGAGGACCATTGAGGAGGAGTTAGATGCCTGCTTTGAAAGCATGTGGGTTTCCAATGAGGGAAAAGCCTTTAAAGGTAAGTTTGGCTGCTTAAGAAATCCAGTTGTGTAAGATGGCAGGTGGAGATGTAAGAGTAGTCTGGTAGATGTCTCAGATTACATAGTTGTGCAAGCGCAAAACATTCAGGTTGATGCAAAGAGCGGGTTCCATTTTGAGGACTGGAGCTGAACTGGATGCATGATTAAGGCCCTTCTGAATCAAAATAGTGGGGCAAGATTGGCTTGACTGAGTTGCTTCCTCTGCCTGTTGGAGCTTTGAAGAAAGGCATGCATCATTCATGTCCTATAAAAAATGGACATGAAACTGCATTAGATTTCCCTAACTAGCTCCTATTTTAATGTTCTGGATATAACTGTCACCAGTCTTGTCAGCAAACTGTGGAGTGCAGGGACCAGAATTGCTAATTGAAGCTAAAATTGTAAAGGCATATGAGAGTCATGAGAAGGAATCTGCACACACACGGAAAGACAAAGCAGCTTCCCAGTCGGAGCAGAGGGGACAGTCATGTGAGAAATCATTTTTCTGAATCGTCTCTAAGGTTCTGTTTCCATTTTGGGTTTTTTGAATTGTGAAAACAGCATGATGGGCTCTGTGTTCGGTTCACTTTTAAATTCAATTTTCTGAATAATAAACAAGTGCCTTGTGGCACCTGAATGACTAACAAATTTATTCTGGCCTAAACTTTGGTCCCTTTTTAAAAATTTTAATTTGCAATTATAACAAACAAATGGAGGAGAAAGATGGGAGAAATGACTGTATCCATATTCCTAAGATGCAATCATGCATCTAATGAAGTTCCCAACAGTCACAAAAACATATCCCAGAGCAAATTTGTAAGTCTTTGAGATTGCATAGTTTTCCTGAAATAGACTATGACAGTGACCCTCTGGAAATCGTGGAAATTGTGTCTTTTTTGTATGAATGATAGTGGCCACAATCTACTTTCTTCCACTGATCATATAAATACATCTATGCTTCTGAGATTTTGGCAGACACTGCCTGCATGCTTTCAAGCATCCTGCTGTAAACCATGTGGACTAGAAGGTTTGTAAATTTACTTTTTATTAATGCTGAGATTTGGAGCAGGTAATTCCAGTGGCCAGCTGCATTTGCTGCATGTGTTGCAACAGAATTAATGGGTTTATTGTGGCATTAGTTTTCATGGATTGTGTGGATCCAAAGGAGGCTTTAGTCCAGGCACACTAAACGCTTAAATCTTTAAGGCAAAGTTTTGTCACTGAGATTTATCAGAAAGACCCTTTCTGTGCTTCTGTGAAATTGCAGTATACCTTCATCCCTAATAATAGGTCCTATTGCAATGGTGGGCAACTTGAGGCACTCAAGATATTTGAGCCTGCAGCTCTTATACTTCCTTACCATTAGCTTGGGCTGCTGGGAATTGCAGACTATGGCACTGTTCACATGACGCAAATGCTCATAATGCATTATTTAAGTCACAGTGAGGCTGTGGGGAGCATGCAGCTGCCATTTTGAATAAGCACTCCCTTTCTGCTGTGAGGTTGTGTGAACATGGTAAGCATAGATTGTAATAAGCATTCTCTGGGTTCGCACAACGTGACAATCTCCAAGTAGCAGCTGGATATGCCACTTGGCACCTGTGGTCATCACTGCTTGTCATCAGTTATATAACCCTTGGTAAGCTGTGGCGTGTCTGCACCTGGGCCTGCCCGGCAGCTGGCATTGTCAAGTTGGCATGGTTGTTCTTGGCAGGAAGTACAAGACAAGCCTGTTCAGAAGATGGCCAAGAAGTTCTCCGGCGAGATGTCAGTGCTGACTTGCAGGAAACATTCTCGGTTGTGGGGAAGAACAGCTTTGGGGACCCTTTCAACTTGTGCACACTTGCCTCTTCACTGGACATACCTGCCAGTAAGGACCAGAACTCCAACTCCTTTCTGTTGCAAATCTCATCGTTGTTGGAATGGCCTGCTTAAAGCCATGGTGATAAAGACAGTAACTGGGTTTGCACAACATGGCCACTCATTGTGGGTGACAAAACATGGAAGGTTACTGTGGCAGATGAGTCCAGGTTGCTTCTGCGAGGTGGCTGGTTGGAGGGCAACATCACCCTGAGAGCCCATAGCTTGCTCTAGGTGTTGTCATGTCATCTGAACCCAGGCCACTGACCCTTCTTTGAATACCAAAAAGTAGCAAGCAAACCACTTGGCAGGAGTAGCAAAAACTTACTTGCCACTCTTGCCAAGTTTGCCTAGGCCACTGCCAGTGGCAGATGCCCCACAAATGCCCAAGCGGCACTTGGGGAAAGGGTCACTGGCTTGGCATTTCCTACCACAAGTGCCAAGCCCCCTTTTCCTCTCTCCAGCTTCCCCATCCACCCCGCCCCCCATCCAGAGATTGTAGAACATTTTCCAAGTTGACAACCCTTCCAAAGTGCGCAAGAAACACACTGCAGAGGCTGTCATTGGTTGGCCCCTATTGTAATTTTTATCTTTCTTTTAATCAGACCTGCACAACTGCAGAGGTGCACAGTACTATCGGCCCAAAAATGAGACACCTTACTTTAGCAATGTCCTGTGCAGCAGTGGCTGTCAAAACACTGGCTACTAAGCAAAGAAACAAAGCAGGCTTGGTGGAGATCACTCATTTTCTCATCCATTCACCCGCTTGTTGGATGGCTTTTTAAAAATTTAACCTGTGAGGTTGCTGCGAGGATGAAATGCAGAGGGGAAAGAACCCTATCCAGTATTCTGAGCTCCTAGGAAGACAATTATGTAACAAAGAAGTAAAGGAGCTACAAATGTAACAACTAATATTACATACTTTTCAGGTTATTTATAAGTAACCATATTTGTATTGCACAGTGGCTCCCAAATTTAAAGAACTAATGCAGTTCAAGCTAGAAAAATGAGCTTATCATTCACCTGTTGCACCTGTTGCAGGCTTCTTAACCATGGACTCTGTCTATGACTCCTTGCAAGCTGCCTTCCACTCAATCAGCCATTACCCTCCGGGTGCCCTCTACAGCCATATTTGCCAGCTGATGGCCCTGTGCACTGGAAGCCGGGATCCCATTGCTACAGCCTACCTGGTCTCAGAGTCCGTCTCCATCACTCTTCGTCATCAGATAGTGCCCATGATTCACAGGAAACTCAAGTAAGGATTCATACCAGGGAAGGACAGTGTGGGAGGGTGGTGTACGTATGTCAATCTGAAGGATATGGTGTTGGAAAGTTTTGCTTGAGGTGTGCAAGAGGAAAAACTACCCACCCTTAGGGGAGTCCAGCTGTCTGAGTTTCTGATTTGAGCAAACTGCCTGACTAGCAGAAGGTACATATGCTCAGAAGAGTGACTCATGCAAATCCTCAGCAGGCAGCCTCTGAAGGCAAGGCCATGATTTTGCATTGAATGGAAGAGCAGTAACATCTGATGCATTGCTTCTTGGTGCAAGATGAACTCTGTGAATCATGCAAAGGTGCAGTGGGTTGGTTACTTGAGACCTCCAAGAAGTTTTCCCATTGTTGTGCATTGTTCAGTGTGCTGTGCCTGACACACCGTATTAGATAGTCCTTAGCACTGCTTTCTCCAAACTGCCTTCCAGACGTTTTGGGCTATCCTATCATCACTGACCATTGTCCACGGTGGCTGAGGACTGACTGGAGTTGTCCAAAATATCCAAAAGGGGTGTAAATAATTATGGTTGTAAGAGTCCCTGAAATGAAACACGCTCTTGCTTGCTTTTATCTCCTGTAACTGCTTTTTTCACCCTCAGCAAAATGAAAAAAGTGTCAGTGGCCAACACAGCCAAGCAGTTGGAAGCCTTGAGCCTGCAAAAAGGAAAAGCTGATTCTCGGCTCCAGTACCTCTCAGAGCTACAGAACCTCTTTGAGTTCAGCTGCCCTAGCCTGCCAAAGTTGGAGACGGAGAACTTCAGAAAGCAGCTGCAACAAATCCCCCATGGTATGTAACTGTTCTCAGTGTGGTGGATGGGATGGTGCATGCTGCACGGTTAGCAGGCAGTGCCATTCCCAATAGCAAGGCAGGCCTATGGCTCTCTGAGTGGGCATCTTGGGGTGGGCATCTATGCAACTACAGCAGAAAAGGTGGCAAATCTTGTTACCTTTGCACAGCTGTAGGGAACGTCAAACCCAGAGTCAAAGCTGGCCTCTTGGTGGCCAGATCCTGGCCCCTTGGTGTTCTGTAGTTGTCTCCATCCCTTTCCTTCAACCACCAGTTATTTGATTGCTTCCCAGTTTTTGTGCAGGTTCCTATTCTGAAAGGCTGAAAAGTCTCTTTGAGGACCAGGGCTAGCCCATTCATGATGCAGGATGACGAACCTGCATGAGGCAGTGGAGCTGGAGAAATGGCAAACTGTGGCCCTTTCTTTATCCTCCCACACTCCAGACCTCACCTCAGTCCCAGTCCAAAGAGGCTGCTGCCACCTTTAGATGGCATTCTAGGGAATCTGCCAGCTGCTTTCCTGCCACTGAATTTGCCACTGTAAGTAATTGGCTGGTGGAGCTATTCTGGGCCTTTTGCATGATTCTGACAAGTAACCAGTATCTCATGAGAGTTCAGACACATTCCACAATATACTGGGAACTCAGAGCCACATGCTGGGATCTTGCAGAGACAGGAAAATCACAGAATCACCAGGTTGGATTCATAAAAATCCAAACTCAGTCGAATCTGTTATAGATTCTCCAGCAGCTCTGGTAGGCCTACTCTGTTGTGGTATGCACACTTTGGAACCCTCTGACGGGAGTCAAGAGGAGGAGACAGCCGCAAGTTTTAAATGCCGCTTGGAAACACACCTGTTCACAAGAGTTTCCCTCACCTATTCTAATACTGCAGTATGGGTTGTTTTCCGTATTTCTCTTGCTTTGGAATTGGTAAATGGTACGCGGCATTGCTGTCTCTTACTCTAGGGGTAAGAGTCTGCATATTGTCCTTGGTGAGTATCCAGCCAGAAGCTGTCGGAGACATCCTCTTGTTGACACGGCTGGAGAAGGATACTGCCCCTGTGACCCTCCAGATACAGACTGCACACAGTAAGGTAAGTGCCGAAGGAAGTAAAACATCTGCACAAAAGGTCCAACTTGCTGAATGTTGGCACTTGCTTATTATCACCTACCTCTTCATTCCTCAGGCACCCTTAAGCACAGTGCTTGGTGAGTTGGATGCCATCCTACAGAAACAGAAAGAGACCTCAAATTTCACTGAGAAGAAGGACTGGTGGACTGGCCGGATTGCACTGGACCAAAGAATGAAGGTGATGTGTATTATGGGGTGGGCAGAATTCAGGCTTGCAGCATCTACACTATTTTAAGACAGTCCTGAAATCCACCAAGTGCAAAAGGCATATACTTGGAATTAAAGTATTCCAGACTGAAAGGAACTCATAGTCTTTGCATGTAACAGTCCATTTCTGATAACCTGACTCTTTCTTCTTTTTAGCGGTAGAGTTCAGAGTGGGCTGGGAGAAGTAAATTTGTTGTTGCTGTTGTTAAGATAGTTGGGACTCAGAAATCCTTGCCAACCTACTGCAAATCACCCAAGACTCTACCGGTAGATCTAGATCTACCTTTTGCCTACCTCTGTTGGCAAAGGTCTTTTAGGGGTGGGGAGGTCCTGGCACTTCATATTGGCTCCATGCCGGAAGACAGAGATCCCCGTGACTGAACAGAGATGCCAACGATTAGCAAGAGGAAGAGGAAATGATGTTAATAACAACCCTCGGCCTTGCTGAGCGGGCAGCAATGATCATAGAGAGAGCAGCTCTTTGAGCTTAAGGGTCACAACTCCTTGCCATCTCTGCTATTCATCCTGATTCCTTTGTGCTTTGTTCTTCTCCCCACCTACTCTGCCTGTGGTTAGCACCCTGACTGAAAAAAGACCGGGGGGGGGGGGCAGGAATTTGAGTTGCATAGGAGAATAGGATCTGCTTCCAGATGCCACAGGGTTTGTGCTTCTTGCCCTCTTCTGACAGCAGGCAAGGGGCTGCCCCTTTTGAGGAACTCCTGTCTCCCTCCCCAGGCTTTAACAGAGTCCTTGGAAATGAATGTGCTGAGCTGCTGGAGAGGTGCCCTGCTACCAGCCTGTGAGGACCCAAGCTTGGCCAAAGAGGCCTCCCACCTTCAGACTTGTCTCAGGAAGTGTGGCTGTAAGGATGTAGACCTGGCACTGCTCAAGGTGAGTGGCCTGTTGGAAGCCTTTAGCATGGAGGGGGGACTTGTGGCCCTCCAGGTGTTGCTGGACTACAACTCCCGTCATTTGGCTGACCGCCATAATGGCTGGGGCTGATGGGAGCTGGGAATCCAACAATATTTAGCAGGCCACATGCTTCCCCCAATTCCCTGTCTTAGCTTCTAGAAAGAGCTACTAGTGACCTGCTGGATCCAGAAGAGAAGTCCAGTCTTCCATTTTGGAGAATAGATTCCCAAATCCTTTCCAGAAGCAGGACATGAAGGGGGCAATTTACCTTTTGTGCCAGCTTCTTATATTCCATGGTACACTGCCACTGACCATGGAGGTTCTAGGTAGCTTCCATAGCTCTTGATAGACCTACTTTCTATGCATATTTCCAATCCTCTTTTGAAGACTTCCTAATTGGTGAGCATTGCCACCTTCTGTGGCAGCAAGTTCCCTAAGTTATACACTGTGTGAATTTCTATGGGTCTGGGTTTTTTCCCCCATCTGTCCTTCTGATTCTGCTGTAAATTTGCTTCACTGGTTGACTCTAATTTTAATATAAAGGGAGAATCCCTTTATCTACAAACACTCATACAGTTCTTAGTTTTTAAAAAATGTTTTTAGCATACAGTCTCCCAAACCCTCTCACACTAATGCGCCCCCACCTTTTGTCTAGGTCATTTACTTTAACCCTTTAATGTCTTAATTGCTCCCCCTTTTCTACTACTCTGTGCTTTTTGCCCTTGTACAAGCTACTGCTATATTGGACAGCCTCACTAGAGATTGTGTAGCAGAGATTATGTATGTTTAATGTCCATTCTCTCCTCCTCACCTGCAACAGGTAATGCTGACTGGATCGCATCTCTTGACCACCCAAGATGTGCAGTGCTTGGTGCAGGGGCTCAGCCCAGCTCAGCCTGAGAGAGCCCAGAACCTTCTGCAGGAGGTAGTGGACAGACTGAGATCCTGGACCAGTCAAGCGTCAAGTGGCCACTTGGTCCTCATGCTGGATAAAGTGCGTGAAGGAGGTTTCTACGCAGGCTTACAACGGGAATGGTGAAATGGCAAACCCAGGGCTGCATCTTTTGCTTATGAGGGTTGCTGCTGCTTTGGTTTCCTTCCCAGTAGGGGACAAAAACGAAAAGCATCTTCTCGTTGGAATGGTTTGTCTGTTGTAGGGTGGATAACTTATGGCCTACCAGAAGGTTTGGCTTGCAAGTTGTGCAGCCTGATCTATCAAGTGCTGCCCAGCTTTTTGCCTGCCTGGCATCATTCCCCACATTTTATTTATGGATAGTATCTTTAATCTGCTCCATCATATATGTTTTCTGGGTGCATGGCAGATAAAATAATAAACAGTAACACAAATGGTTAAACGAATCCACTACAAAATGTATTGGGTCTACAAAAGCTGCACTTCAGATAGCAGATTCTCTCTTCCTGATGGTCAGGTGAGAAGCAGCTGCCAAGTTCTTTAGGCATGGGGAGGGCTGATCTCTCTTCTTAACTGAGCCACCCACCTACACAAGATTCAAAGATTAACGGGTGCTTCCAGAGAGATATTCCTAGAGTGACCAATCAAAAGACACTGTGAAGGTATTTCCCTCCTTAACACATGTGTTTTTATTTTTTGGTAAAGGAAAAGACAGAAAAATCAGGCTGGAAAAAACATGGGAGGGTTACACATACACAGTGACCTCTGCAAGTCCTGTAAAGTTCCATGTAGAAGGCAGGGTGATGACGGCACAAGAGTCTTGTCTGGAAGCACCCCAGTCTTCAAGAGCTGAAGGAGGATCAGTAAATCAGATACTTGCATAACTTCCCCCCGCTTCATTTCTGTTGGAAAGAGTCATAAATTCCTCCCCATATCCTACATAATACTATTTAATTTAATGTGCATCACCCACATGGCGATAAATTGATGGGCTTGCAGTGAGGCATGGCTGATTCTGCAAAAATACCAAGCTGTCACCCAAATCTGTCTACTGTCATTAGCCATCTTTCTGCAATTTGTCATGCACTTGCGGAACATAATGTGACATATTGCTGACTTGTACTGTTGAATGAGCCTAGCCCCCGGCTGGTACCCTCCAGATGGGTTGGACCACAACTGTCATCATGCTGGCAGTGATGGGAGTTGCAGTCCAACACATCCAGAGAGAAGGCTGGCCTTGCAGCTCTCTTACACGAAGATCGATGAACTTAACTGGCAATCCTCCTTTCCAGCATCTGCAGAAGCTCCCCTGGGAAAACATACCATGCTTGAAAGACCAGTCAGTGACCCGGCTACCATCCCTGCGTTTCCTGCTTGGTTCCTCACTTACTAAAAAGGTAAAGCACTCCAGCATTGTCAAAGAGGGAAGAGCTTGATCTAGACATGAGTTGATACACTACCATTTAAAGATGGATTTTACAGCAACATGCATCAGCATGGCTGAAGCTAAGTAGCAGGTTTATTGCATGCCTGAGACTTCAGGAGTCCGGTGCCTTGATGAAAGGGATTGTAGAGGGTTTTCACGGAGGACAGGCCACTAATCATGATGGGAATATATTATCTCTCAGGGTCAGGGGCAGTGGGCCTCTGCCTGCCAGTTCCTGGAAACACAAGCAGGAGGTGATATTATACTCCTTTCCATCTTGTGGGCTTCCCATGGGGACATCTGGGTGGCCACTGTGTGACAAGAATGATGGACCAGATAGGCTTTTGGTCTTCCTATTCCAGCATGGCTCTTGCAAGTTAAAAATGTTCTTGAACTCCCTTCCTTCTTCTGTGGCTTGTGGTCTGAAACCTGGCTCATTCATGAGTCTGCTGGAGCTGCTTGCATAGGAATGCTACTACTTTTCTTTGATTTGCATTGGTTTGGGGGAAAGAGAATTTGGGACTGTTGGATGAATCAGCCTTGATCTAGCAGTCCCTTTTACTTCTGATGCTAAATCAGACATTGGCCTGACCAAGTTGTGTACCCACTCTTGGGACAGGAGTGGGTGTTGTTTGTTTAATCAGTTCTTCACCTGCTAGAAAATTTGGCTCAGTGATTTGTGTAATTTAGGCTGCTGCCATTCCTGGGAAGGTGCAAGGAGTTTTGTGCTGCACTGAAATGTTGTCCACAGTGAAGTCCTTTGCAAGGCACACACTCTTTTTCTGAACAGGCCTTGTAGATTGAGGCTGATCAAGACTGAAATCTGTGCCCATTATATCCCGTTTAATAAAGCTACTTTTCTTTGAACAGTATCAGCAAGAAACTATCCTTAACAACGGGGTCAATCGCAGCAGCACCTTCTATGTCTTAAACCCCCACAGGAACCTTCCTCGGACAGAAACAATGTTCAAAGACTGGTTTCAAAGGTGGGTATCCAGTGGCACGTACCGTTGCACATATCCGCTTGCAAACCAGGTTTCTGTACAACTTTCCAGTAGGCTTCCTTTTTGATCAGTGGGAGCTTGCTGTTGTGCATGCATGTCCATGCACACACCTGGGAGGCTACTTGTTTGGGTGAGTCTGACAGCTCAGATTCTGAAGATGAGATTGTTTTTGAAACAGTTCAAACTGCAGCTGTGATTCAAGCTCTTGAAACTCCACAGGAACTAACTATGGGGGAGATTAGCCCAAGGGCAGACCAAGGGACCGGCCTACTCAGCCATGGGAACAGAGAGTTGCAGGCCAAGGGAAGAGTCTTTAAAATAGGTAGTTTTTCTGATTGGGAACTCCAGTGTCCTGAAGAAGTGGACCCGGTCTCTAGCTATTATCAGCAGAGAGTGGTCCATTTAGGTGCACAAGAGGAAGAGTGGAGGCATGCCTGCTTTCACAGCACCCCTTCTCTGAGGGCAAGATGCAGAAGGGTTCATAAAGATAATGAACAGCAGAAAGAGTTCAACATTTCACTTTGTGTATGCTCAGAGACTTGACTATAACAATGAAGATCAATTGCAGAGAAAGGCTGGTGAGACTGATACTGCTTGGAGGAAGAAGCCTGGCTCACAACGTGCAAAGCTGACTTAGTCAAACACAGTGCAGTTGGTACTATCCATGTTAACTGATCTCCCCCCCCCAATCCCATCCTTGTTGTTTGGTAGTGAGCCTGGGTGGACAGGAGTCGTGGGAGAGACCCCCTGTGCAGATCAAGTACCCCTGGCCCTTGAAGAACGTGATCTCTACATGTGAGTACACTGCGAAGCACTAGGATAAAGGCAGGTATCTTGATGTGACTGGGGCAGAGAAGCATGCTGTTGGCAGGACAAGACAAGCCCTCTGTGGTAGCTCCTGAGATTGGGCAAGTGGCTTTGCAGTCCAGTTCATCCTGTTGTCCTGGGCAAATAGATTCTTGATGTTCTTGATAGTTACTGCGTTTTTCTGAGATTTTTATAGAACTCAAAGCATATGGTGGGCTTTCCAAGTCATGCCCTGGCTGCTGCTAAGAAAAATGTGAGCAAAAAGCACTGAGAATGGAGAAAAGAATATGCATAAACATGGAAAGGCTTGCTGAGGCTTTTCATACTGTCGCTTGGTCCTTTCACTGCTGTAGATAAGCCTAAAATCCCAGGAAGTCAGTTTGTGAAAGCTACACATCACAAATGAGTGGCAAGTTCAGTTCACGAGAAATGTTTTCAAAGCTGAACTGCTTTTCTCTACTGCCCCCTCAGACATTCCTGGATAATTCAAACTGCAGTGTAGAGACACTCTTAATAAAAACCCTTGACCTTTCAAGGAGGCTTCATTCTAGAAAGCTCAGCATGCTGCTGCTACCTCCATTATGTTTACTAAGTGGGCAAGTGTGGGAGGGCACCACTGTGGATGCAAAGAGAGGTGGTAAGAAGGATTCGAAGGAAGAGGGACCTTCACAGGAAAGGGACACTGAGGCAAGTGGACAAAAGGGTATACAAGAGAAGGTGGCATGATGCAGAAGGATCCTTTGTAAGGCTAAGGCTGATTATGAGCTGAGACTTGGGAAGAATGTCAAGAGCAACAAAGAGGGCTTCTACCTTCACGTAAAAAGGAAGAGGAAGGGGAGACAGGTGGTGGGACCACTTAAAAGGTAGGGAGAGGACCTGGTAACTGATGTAAGGGAACAGGCACAGATGTTAAATGATTATTTTGCTTCTATGTTCTCCATAAAGTGAGTTGGGGGAGTTCTACCTGGGGGGCTAGATGAGGTTATGAGGGGCATGGAATGGAGTCGCCTCCCTAGAAGTCAAGGAGCTCCTCAGGGCCCTGGATGGTACAAAGGCACCAGGCCCTAATGGGCTATACCCGAGGGTAATTTGAGAATTGACAGGGTACTCTTGTGTCCATTGGCCTTCATATTTGAGGTCTCATGGAGAACAGGAGAAGTTCCAGAGGACTGGAGGGTGGTGTCAGTGGTTTCAATCTTCAAAAAGGGTAGCAGAGGGAATATGGGGAATTACAGGCCAGTTAGCCTTATGTCCTTTCTGGGAAAGATGATGGAAAGGCTCATAGTATGAAAAGTTCTGGAAACCCTAGATAGGGAAGGGAGGTTGGCAGTCACATAGCACAGATTCCATAAAAGCAGTTCTTGCCAGATGAACCTTGTGGAATTCTGTGAGGTGGCTAGATGGAGGGATGTGGTGGATGCTGTTTACCTGGATTTCAGCAAGGCCTTTGACACAAAGTACTGCATGATATCCTGGTGGAGAAATTGTAGCGCTTTGGGATATAATGGTGCACTGTCTGATGGATTAAGGCATGGTCGACGGACTGCAAGCAGCTGAGGCTGTAGTTTAAAAAGATCCAGAGGTTGCCTTTTTTCTTGAGATGCTGTTTTTTTTTTTCCTTCCTGTAGCTATGCTGGGCATGGTGCAGGTGCACGTTTCGTGGACTCCATCCTTAAGGTGGACTGCCGGGCTGTGACTCTTCTTTTTGGCTGCAGCAGTGCTGCCTTAGCAGTGCAGGGCAACCTGGAGGGAACCGGCGCTGTTCTCAGGTTCATCATGGCAGGATGGTAAGTTGCCATAAGCCCTGCTTGCTTGCTTGCTCAGTCTTTAAAATCCGAGATCAACATAAGTTGTAGACCCTGGGATCTTGTGGGTGTGGTTCCCATACTGAATATGAGGGTCGAGGTACGCGTTGGAAAAATTCATACACTGCGCCGGATACCTTCTCTGCTAGGTCTGCTGGAGCAAAGATGCCCCATGGAACAATATCCAACAAAATACATGCAGTGACATCTTCAGGTTGCGATTCTCCCGTGTCGGCACTGCAGCCAGCAAGTACAGGGGGTCCCTTGAAGCAGCCTCATTCCCTAGAAAGCAAGTTTGTGCCTCTGAGCCTTGTGATGTGCCAATAAAAATGAACTACCTAACTTGGCCAGAGGTGGACAGAAGATGCATTGCCAGCTATTTGGACTTCAGCTCCAATATTCCGGAATGCTGAAAGCTGCCCACTCCATTCTGCTCTGCAATTATGAGAAGTCCTGCCCATTTTCCCAAGAGCTGATGTTTGTGTTTGTGAGGTATTCTTTCCAGCTTGAGTACAACTCCATTTTTTAAAGGTCCTCAGTCCCTGCTGGAAGGTAGCAAAGGGGTATTTTAGTGGTTCAGCTTTTCATGAATGAGGTATGTGTGGCTGGGGGATCTTTGCCTTTCCTGTAGCTGGAAAAAAATTCTCTCTGGGTCAGATTAGCTAGTGACATTGAGGGGAGAATTAAGTTCCCAGAAAAGTGTGTGTGGTGTTGCCCTTGGCTAGGCAGTGCAATTAATCACCTGCACATGTCTGCAGCACAGGCTGTATGTGTGCAGGGTTGGGCTCTTGCCTGCTTGGTGTTCCCTTTGCAGTCAAAGGCTGAGCTTAACAGTCCCTTGATTCCCTCTGTTTCTACAGTGAACTCTTTTTCCTCGATCCTTTTAACTCTGAAAACATGAGGGATGCTTATCCCTGCTTTCCCAAAGAAAAGCTTCAACAAGAGTGAGGAGACACATGTAGCTCGTAAAAACCTAGCCATGGGAAATCCTGTCACTCTGATGAGTCTGGGCAAAGATTTTGTCCTGGCTGCAATTAGCAGGTAGAAAAGGCATTCCCAGAGGCACCATGAGCGAAGGCAGCTGCTTGGAGCAGGAATGAGGAACATTTCATGGGTGGGGCCCAATGCCCCTTTCTCAAACTGGAGGTTCCATACCTGCCCCTTGTCAGGGCTGTAGCCGCACCCAGGGCTCCAGCTGGTCCCTCGCTCCAGTGGCGTTTCAGCCAGGACCAGCTTCACTGCATGAGGGCTGTCCCTGCTGTGCAAAGTCCCCCTCTTCAACTGGGACAGCACTGGAGATTCTTATTGGGAGCAGAAGTGGCAAGCAGCGGGGATCTTCATTGCTATTTTCAGAGAATCCAAGGAGGCTCCATAGCCCTGGCTTACTGTCATTATCCAGGGCTCTCTCGAGAAACTAGCTAGTGAAAATCTTGTGCTCTCTTGAGACAGCAACTCCTGCATACAGGCTTAGATTGCAAGCATGACTTGTGTGTTTCTCATTTTCCAGTCCCCTGGTGCTGGGTAACCTCTGGGATGTGACTGACCGAGACATCGATCGCTACATGGAGGCACTTCTGAAAAGTTGGCTCGATGCAGGATCTGGAGCACCACTGCTGCACTCTGTCATACAGTCCCGTCAGGCTCCCAAACTCAGATACATGATTGGTGCTGCCCCCATAGCCTATGGCTTACCCGTGCACCTGAAGTAGATAACATGAGAAGTTATCTGGCCCAGGGTGGTTTGACCTGGACGAATTTTTTCTTACACTCTGAACTGACTTCAGTGCAATCAGCTCTTGGGAAGAGAGAGGATAAATATTTGGGTGAGGCAAATTGGTTTGGTCACCAGTTGCCTTACCTCATCTTCAGTAGCCTGAATTGCCTTTATGAGGGATATATCTTAAGCTCCCATGTTTCAGAATATTTAACGTTTACATAGTGTACAAATCAAATTTCAAAGATTGTAATTTATTCTTAAGTCTATTTATATTTTAATGTTTCAAAGCCTGAATAAACATTATAGCAAATTTTCTCTGTGCATGGGTATAACCAGCCCTGACCGCTCTCTCACCTCTGAGAATAAGCATCCATCTGGCTTGTTGAAGCATAGATGTTTTCCCTTGCGAATTTACTTACATTTATGCCCTGCATCTTCCTCTCCTAGCTTTCCTTAGCAGAACATAATGAATTATGTAAAAGAGGGCTAAAAGGGGTGTGTGTGCATGCATCTATCTATAAAGGATTTGATAAATTAACATGCAGAAAAATGGTGCACACATGAGCATCAGTGTTTTATTGATACAGAATACGGGCTGGCTTGATGAAGAACTTATATCAAACCGGGGGGTGGGGGGGGCATAGCTTTAACTATACAAACAGCAGCAAAGAGCTGTAAAGCTAAGATGTACCCAGGCTGCTTCATATCAAAGCTTCTGAAATGGATCTGGTTTATTCAAAGCTTTAAGACTGCAGCTATGCAGTTTTAAAAATTGTAATGAGAATTAAAATGAACTTCATTACTATTAAGTCCCCAGCTTCTGCACCAGAATATTCTGTTTGCTATTATGCATACTTCTATACATGTCCCCTATACATACCAGGTGTGTGGTTGGAATATAGAGACCCACTCCCAAATATCAGAAGTCCAACTCAAAACAAGATGCATCTCAAAAGTATCCATATTTCTACTACAGTCGATCTGGTGCCCTGCAGACGTTTGGATTTTACCTCCTATCTGCTTCTCTCAGACCCAAATCAGGTCTGGATCCTGGCCAGATTTCACTTTATCTGTACCAACAAGAATCTCCAAAAACCTCCTTCCATCCAAGGAGTCCCCTTCCACTTTGTTCGAACTAGCCTCTTCCCATAGAGTTTAATTCTATTATTTATTTATTTAAAGTTTTTATATGCCGTCCCCATTGCTACACAGCCTCGTAACACTGAATGCAGATACTAGCACTCTAATGTCATGGTGATTTGGGAAAACTCCAAATGGTGAAAGAATGGCACAGAGAAATGAATACCCTACGCCCCTTTTTGACAATGTCTTCCACCACTGTTTGAACTACTCTGCAGTAAGGGCAAGCGCCCTTGGGGAATTCTGTAAAAATTCAGAGATTGGGGACAAGGTATCCAGTGTCCTATCCTTCTGTAGGGAAAGCCATGAAAGCCTTCTGGCTACTAACCCTCTAAGTCCCATGGGTGATTTCCATGGTTAGAAGGCAAATCCATGTTGTGAAACTGAGTCCAGAGATCCCCTGCAGAGGGTTTTCTCCTGTGGGGTTTTGTATTTGCTAATGTGAGCCATTGAGCTAGGCATGTTTGCTCACCTCCATCTTTTGGCCAGCACCAAGTTGTCTTGTACCCATAGTGTATATTCCAGGCTGTACCAAGTTGCACTTACCAGCCCCATTTGTGTGAATAATGCATAGCAGTCAGCATCCACATGTGGTTGCCCATCCAAGCTGCAGGACAGGGCCATTCCAGCTTAGCAAAAACAAAGCCACATGCTAGCCACTGCACCAAATTCTCTCTCACACACAGGGAGCCTATTCCAGCATATGCCAATTGGCTGTAAGGATGTTGCTAGTCCACCATCATCACCCCAACTGGTAGAGTGCTTTCAGTGGTCCTTACCTGTAGCAGCTTCATGTGGAAATTGTTTTCCCTAGGGACCTGTGAAATCATTTTTTTAAAACAAATATGATTTCTTTCCTTTTACTCCCTTTTAGCTGATCTGGGACAGCATGTGCATGCCCTTCTGTAATCTACATGTCTGTTTTACCTGGTCCTTGGTGGGAATCTAGACATATAACATGTTCCAGGTGTAAGAAATCCATGCTGGGTTTTCACCAGTGCTACTAAAGTATAAACATTCTATTACACACTGAACCAGTATTCTAAAACTGAAAACTTAGAAATTAGGAAGTCCACTTACATCAAGTTCATTGATGTAAGAATATAAAGCAGTAAGGCCTAGAATCTGTGCTTCCAAATAAAAATGCCCACAACATGCACTGTAAGGTGCCTGTACATTTTAGATGCACCCCTTGACAAATCCAATGAATAACCTGAGAGTATGGAAGCGTTCGTTCTGTGAATGTATGCCATTCATTTAGCGTGAAGTCCTATGCAGGTTTAGATAGAGGGGAAAGGGCTCTAACTTCCAGAATGCCCCAGCCGCCCATGGCTGGCTGGAGCATGGTGAGAGTTATAGGCCTTTCTTCTGCTAAACTTGCATAGGCTTGCGCCTTTAGGTTTTAAAAGCACAAGGCAGCCTTACAAGCTCCCTTTTGATGCAGAGTTTTGAAATCACTATGTGTTCTGCACCAAAACAGTAGAAACAAAATATACATAGTGAAAACGGGACGGGGCGAGGGGGAATCACTGATAAGTTGCTATTAAAGTTTGTGCAACAGGCAGCAATGCAACACATCCAGCCCTTTTCTCCCGCGTATAGTGGTGTGAAATTACTACCGGTTTTGTAACCCTTCCGACTGTACAAAGATCGCTCTGGAAACCTCTATTTTAAATACCGAGACCGATACTCGTTACATTCTCATCTCTATAAGAGAATCCGATCGTCGACCGGAAGTGAAAGGTATGCGGACTCCCTCTCTCTGTAGGATGGGGCGGGGCTACTGGAGGGAAATGGGTCACAATAGAGGCGCACTGATCATAGACTCGATTGGCTAGAGGGGATCCTCCCGCCGTGGCCGCCCAGGGTGGCGTGCAGAGTAGCAGCGCTTCTCCCTCTTCGCCAAGATGGCGCAGCAGGTGAACATTTCGGAGCTCTCCCTGCCGCAGCTGGAGGTGCTGAAGAACCAGCTAGACCAGGTGAGAGAGACCGCGGGCATGCGGAGGTGATCAGAGCTGGAAAGTAATGGCCCGCACTCCCCGCGAGAGCATGGCTGCTCCCGTGAATGGACTGCCCGGCTCCAGCCACCCACAAGGCAGGAGGCGCTTGGCCAGCCCCGCCTAAGCTGTGCTAGTGTCTGGAGGCTTAGGGTGTGCATGGCTGCGCGAAGATAAGTTCCGTTGGACTTACTAGGACTTTCTCTTGAGTTACTGTGGGTAGGACTGCAGCCTTTTTGGGATCTCCTGTGGAAGGGGTAAAATCTCAGGGAGAAGCGGAGAAATGACGGGCTGAGGGAAACCCAATATGGTAATGTTGAGGGGAGGCCGGGTAGCTTCAGGGGACTCAACAACATTTACATCCTGTATTGTGTTCTGGGCAGCCCCACCTAGGACTAAATCCACAATTGCCTCCCCTCTAGTTGGTTCTACAACCAACTGCTCTAGGGCACGGTCATTTAAGACATCAAGAAATTTATCTTCTCTGTCAGAACTGGAATCTGCATTTATCCAGTCAATATGTGGGTAGTTGAAGTGTCCCATTATTATTACATTACATTTCTATACCTCCTGTTGCCACAACTCACTGGACAGTTCACGACTTTTTAAGTCACCCATCCAGATTTCAACCAGGCCTGACCCGGCTTAGCTTCTAAAGTTAGGCAGGATCAGGCACTTCAGGCTATATGGAAACATCATCATCATCAAGCAGTCTTACAGTATTGCCTTTGTTGGAGGCCTCCTTGATTTCATTTTCCATCTAAGATCACCCTGAGCATTCTGGTCTGGGGGATGACAGCATGCTCATGACAAAGTTAGTTTTGGAACCAGGAATTTTCACCCAGAGTGCTTCTGTGGAAGAATCTTCACACTTTAGATCAGGAGTCCTCAAACTTTTTCAGTAGGGGGCAAGTTGAAAGGCGGCAGCAACATGCGTGGGCTGGTGAGGAGGGGGGGCCTGGGCGCACATGCCGGTGAAGTGTCGTTGGGTGCGTGCGAGGTGGCATTGGGTGCGTGCGAGGTGGCGTTGGGCGCGTAAGGTGGCGGCTCACTCGGAGATCTCCCAGCGAGTCCAAAACGATCTCCGAGTGAGCAAGCCACCAGCTCCCGCCCGCGACAAGCATGCGTGCGGGTGGGGGGGCGGTGGTGCGGGCTGGATGAATGGGCATGGCGGGCCGGATCCATCCCGCGGGTCATAGTTTGAGCACCCATGCTTTAGATTATCAAATCTGCTGGACTCTATGCCCCCTTTAACATAGAGGGCAACACCTCCTTCAGCATGCCCTTCCCTGTCTTTCTTACAAAGTTTATACCCAGAGATGACCATATCACATTGGCCATCTTTGTTTCATCAGGTTTCTGTAACCTCCACTATATCTAGCTTTTCCTTTACTACCAGATACTCCACCTCTCCCATTTTAGTCCTAAGGTTCTAGCATTTGCACAGAAACACCTAAGCACAGTGTCCCCTTTTAGCCATATACAACTATTGCCCTGGCACTTAGTCCTCTCCAACTGGTTATCTTGCCTTGCTGTAACTTGTTGCCTACTTCCTCCCCTCCTACACTTGGGCAATCTGAAACTTCCTCCCTTTCATCTACTAGGGTTGACTTGACCTCAACTGCATGCTTCCCAGCTCCTGTCCACTTTCCTCCAGGGATCTGTTTAAAGGCTGCTTTGCCACCAATTTTTTTTTTTTTTTTTTTTGGTGGAGGGCTACACGACAGCCTTTCTGGTTCTATGCTGATTCAGGAGGAACCCATCCTGTACAGGCCTAGCTAGTTCCAAAGTGTCCCCCAGTGCCTAACAAATGTGAAACCCTCCTCTCTATACCTCTGTCTTATCCATGCATTGAGACACCTCAGCTGCATCTGTCTAGCTGGCCCTGTGTGTGGAACTGGTAGCATTTTGGAGAAAGCCACCTTGGAGGCCCTGGATTTCAGCCTTCTACTTAGCAATGTACATTTGACTTCCAGGACCTCATGACTACATTTCCCCATGCTATTGGTACCAACACGGACCATGACCTCTGAATCCCGCACTGCACCATCTATGAGGCTATCTAGACAATATATGTTAACCTTCACATCAGTTAAGCAAGTGACCATGCACTCCACACGCCCATCACAAGCCCAGCTTTCTGTGTTCCTAATGACCCAATCTCTTTCTACCCAGAGAGAGATCCTCAGTGCCAGTGGATACATGCACAGCTTCCAAGAAATGGGTCTCTTTAAGGGATCATTTTCCTCTTCCTTAGAATGATGCTCTCCTTTCCTGAGACCCCCTTCTCCATAACTGCAGAGGACCTGTCACCCAGTAGTTAGGACCCTGCCTTGAAGGTCTTGCCATCCAGCCTGTCTACCTCTCTTTTCTTTTCCAGGTCAACACACTTGGCTTCAAAGGAACAAATATGTTCCCTGAGAGCCAGGAGCTCATTACACCAAGTACATACCCATGACTTCTGTCCAGTTGGCAGATAGTGCAATACAGTGGATGATACCACACCCCTGCTGGCATTCTACTGTCATAATTAGTTTAATGGGTATAAGCAGTTTATTCACCTGAAAAAACCTAGGGGATTTTGGATTTTACTAAGTTTCTTTATTCTCCTGGTGAGGACGATGGATTTACTTTTCCTGATTACAGAAGGGAGAAGAGTTCTGTGCCCTGGCCTCCTCACCCTGTTGAGGGTGAGGAATAGCTCCACTCTCTTTTCATCAAATCCAGAAGTTCTGAATTAGTGCCTGAGTGCATATTAGACTAAGATGAGGGCCAATAAACAGATTCAATCCAGATAAGGTGGAGGTGCTGTTAGTGTGGGGATAAATATTATTCAGCTTCTCCTGGAGGAGTTACACTCTGGAATGCACCACTGTCCCTAAATGATCTAATTGGCAGAGAACACTGTTTATCAGCTTAGGCAGATATACCAGCTATGAGGTATATCTCATTTTTTAATTGTTATATTGTTATTATTTATGTATTTATGTATCCTTTGTGAGCCGCCCAGAGGCTTTGTTGCGATGGGGGCGGCATAGAAATGTTTTAAATAAATAAATAAATATGAATCTACCTGTAGGGGCTAGCTTAGTGACAGTTCTCCATGCTTTGGTAGGCTGCCATTCAGATTCCTGCAATGCATTATACATGGGGCTGCCTTTGAAACTTCAGCTGGTCTAAAAGAAGGCAGGGAGTTTATTAATGGGGACTGACCAATATGATCGTATTATGTCAGTGCATTATGATCTGCACTGGCTGCCCATCCTCTTTTGAGCCAAATTCAGAGTTTTGGTATTAAGTTACCTAGTTCTAAATGGGTTGGGCTAATGGTTGTTGCAGAAACATAATAAACATAATATTTTGATTTTGTCTTTTATGTAAACTTTTATTGAATTATGTTACTGATCCATGTGATTTTGTTGTATTTCAATTTTATGTATTATGAGCCATCCTGAGATGCCAAGGCATAAGGGGCAGCATACAGGCATACATAATTAATTAATTAATTAATTAATTAATTTTACACATTGGGTGGTCACTGTGTGACTAGAGTGTAGGCTGTTAGGCTGAGTCAGCATGGTTTTTCTCATGCTCTCGTGTGGTTCTTATGCAAGTCTTGTAAAGATTCAGCTCTTTGCCTTGGACATGCCTTGCACAGTACAACTCTTCAGCAGCATCGTGCACACAAAGCACACATGGGCTTTCTTTTTTAAGCTTCCCACTTATTCTTTCCTGGCTGGGTTGTGATGTGGTCGGAGAATCAGGTGGCTTCGGGTGACAAGGATTTCTCATTCCCCCCCTTTCCCCTCAACTTGGGCTACATGCATGCGAACTCACCAAATAAATAATGCTTTTATGTAGCACTTTCTAGAATTTCCAAAGCTTCACATACATTATCTTATCAGTCTTTGAAACAGCTCAAAAAAGTTGGCCTGTGATGTGTTCTGGACTGTTACTATCACGCTACATTAATATCCCACCTTCTATCCTCCTGCGGAGAACTTAAGGCATCTTGCATAGGCATCCTCCACTCCATTTCATTTTCAACAATTCTTTGAGGAAGGTTAGGCTGAGAATGAGCAGCTGGCCCAGTCACCCAATGAGCTTCGTGGCTGAGTGGGACTAGTATGTAGATCTCCTTAATCCCTGTCCAGCACAGGCTCATTTAGGTTGCATCCTGTATTCATCTACCTGTGAGTAAACTTCGGAGCAGTTACTTCTGAATAAACTTAAGACTTGCACTATTGCTGATTTTGTAGCTGAAATAAAATGTGAACCCAAGGGGTTAGGGTGTCCCTTTGGGAAGATGATGGTAGTCCACAAACATTTGTTTGCATACTTGCTTAGGATGTACATAAGAACACCTCTTTTAAAACCAGTATTCATGTGAAAAAAGTAAACTGTGACCCTGGAGACAGGAACTATGTTTTATCTTTTTATGGCATGTAGATATTGTAGGTGTTTGGAAAAAAAATGTTGTTGTTGTTTTCTATAGCTCAGTGTTTAGTACATGCAGGGGGAAAGCAGAAGAGTCTGTGCTAAGGTATTTGGATGATGGAAACCATCACTGGGCTGGTTGTTTGATAGACCATGCTGCAGTCCTAGTTCTTAGCATGGCAGTTCAAGCTCAAATGCTGAGAATTTCGCTGAAGATACTGAATGTCATTGAATCCAATTCTATGCATGTTTAGACAGAAAAAAGACCTATAATTCCAAATCCCCAGTTCCCCAGTTTTTAACAGATTAACAAAGTATACTAAATATTGTACTGTTTCATGTAAGATGACTTGGCTGGCATGCCCAGAGGTCCTGATCTATAGTCTTGCTATTTTGATCAAACGCGTAAGAAGCTGTAAGACATGGAACATATTCAGTTGATTTAAGAGCATATGTGACTTGCTCTGTTAACTGCTGGGTTAGACTTCGACCCATATAGTTCTTTACTCATTGTGGGGATGGGCTACTTCTGGGGAAGTGTGTGAGAAAGTTACCACACAACTAAGAAACAAGCCATCTTTCTTCATTCATTCCCCCTGGTTTCTGATGTTCATTGAATTACAAGAAGTTTGTTCCTCAGGTGTTCTGCTTTCAGGATAAGCGAGATCTTATGTTCAGTCAGTCATGGAATAAATACGGAATCTTCCATTTGGATATTACTTCCTACATCCAATGAGAGGAACAGGAATGAAAATGGATATGCCCATGGACTGTTCCCAGTCTTGTGTCAGAACAGGCTAGCATGCCAGAAGAGGGTCAGCAGCGGGAAATTGCGCTCAGTTACCACAGTTATACCTCAGTGGCCCACATTATAACGTTCAACTTTCTATCCACGTAGCCTCTTCCAAGTGAATGTTAAACAAGGAGGTCCTAGAAATGGTGGCCTAGGCAGGACTCATCAGTGGACCTTAACTACAGACATGTTATGCAAGAACAAAGTGCAAGAATGTGATTCCTAATAATGATCAAATAATGAAGACTTTCACTTCAATTAAATATCTAGTGTAAATACACCCAAGTATGCAGGCAAATGTATGATGAACAGTGCTGGGCATGGAAGTCACAAATTGACAATATTAAGCAGTGGAGTGTTATAACTATGTGAAATGTAAAAATTGTTTATCTGTTTAACATCAATGAAAAGCAATTCTTTAAACAAACATATTGCACGCACACATGCATGGATATCATAAATAATGAATACTACACTGTGAGAGCTATTACAGAGCTGGCAAGACTTTTTTCTATGAAAGCAGATGGTGTCCCACTAAAGCAGGGGTAGACAGCTTGGTGTCCTCCAGATCTTTTGAAGTGCAATGCCTATGATCCACTGGCTGGGGTCAGTGGGAGTTGTAAACTAAAACATCTAGGAGGGTACCAATCCCTTCAATGAATTGTCCCAAGCCTTTACTGTAGCTATTTGTTGCCTAGTGGCCCCTGGTGGCAGAGCTACAGAACACTTCTTTCAGAATGCCTGATCCAGTTGCAATCTGTAAGCCAAGGCAACAGGTCCTTCGTGGCTGAGCTTTTGATTTTATATACCCTTCTGTAGGAAGTAGAATTCCTTTCTTCATCGATCTCACAACTCAAGATGGTGCAGACAAAATATGTGGAAGCAAAGGATTGTCTGGCTGTATTGAATAAAAGCAATGAAGGCAAGTGACTGTTTATTTTTTCAATGTATATCTTTTTTTTCCATTGCAAAATGTCACCCAAAGCAGGTTGCAATAGTGAAATCATTTACCAGTAAAAAGAACACTAAAAAGTAGTGGCAATGGATAATCATGTTTAGGCCACATGGATATATTTTAATCCTAATAATCTTGCTGAGCAGCTGAAAAACAAAACAAAACATGACCTATATGCAAGCAATACTGTGAAAAATTCAAAATACTAGAATTCTAAAATTTGAAGGCAGTGCACCCTATCCAAACTAATCATTATTAAGTGTACATCCCAGTAAAAATGTAGGATTGTGTAAGTACTATTCAGAGTAGACCCATTGAAATGGATGAGACACATTAGATAACATTTGATACAAGTGATAGACAAGGAGTGGGGCATCCAATTTTATCCTGAGCCATGAATCCATAATTGCTCCTCTTACTTCCTTCTTTGTGAACGCCTTGCACTATTCCTTCTTGCAGCCCTCACCCAGCTGCTTTTTGTAGCCCTCCAACAATAGGCTTTCTTTTGATAAGGTGTTCAGTGGACTAGTGGAATGATGGTGCAGCTTGTATGAGTATAATTGGATCCTGGACATGCAGAAGGGTTGATCTGAAGTGCAGCCCTGCATATGTCTACTCAGTTGCTTCCACTGAACCAAATCTGGCATACATCATGGTAAATAGATGTGGGATTGTAGCCCTAAGCATCCTTAATTTCAGGACATAGGATAAACATGGAGTTTGTGCTCAGCTTCTCTTCCTATCTGGAAGAGTGTCCTTTTTCATTCTTTCAAGAAAATTGATTTTTTTCTGTACAATGAGGGTAGGTATGCCACATTTCTCATACTTTGGGAGGCTGTAGGCCTGTTTATGATTTTTATTGGCCCACTGAAATCATTGAGCTGTATGAGTCTTGTCATCCAGTTTGGAGTCATTGTAACTTCTGGGTTAAGGAACCTGCAACTAGCAGAAGATGGTTTAAAGGTCAAGACATCTGAATTCTTCCACTGGCCTATCTGGCAACTTTTGACCAGACATTTACCCTGCTCTACACTGCATGAAACAGCAGCGGGACATACTTTATTGCACAGTCTTATAGCCATGCATGAAAGACAGGTGGAGGAGTTTGTCAGCCGTCTCCATGACTCAAACTATTTTCACTTTTAAATTACCTAGTAAAATAAGCTGAATTGAACTGTATACATTCTCTGTAATGTAAAATACCTGTTTTGGGTTTGTTTGTTTGTTTGTTTGTTTCCTTCTCAGGTAAAGAACTTCTGGTTCCACTCTCCAGCTCTGTATCCTTTCTGTGCCAACAACACCCCTTTTTAAGTTTTCTTTGCTAAGCTACTATTCTGCTATCCTGTAATGATTTGGGTTCACCTGCAGCACCCAAATGCAGATATATATTGTAATAAGTAGCTGGATTTCATCAGACCTATGAGACTCTTCTTCCCTGTTGTTCTTGATTTTTGTCCTCTTGTCCCAAGTGTCTTTGGGCCAATGCTTAGTGTGTTGGCAGAAGCGGTGCTTAAGAAGCTGCTTTATACTGAATAACACCTGTGTTGCATCTATTGTCCAGTTTTATCTAAACTGACAGGCATCAGCTCTCCAGTGTTCAGGCAAGGTTTCTTCCCAGCCCTACCGTAAGATGCTGAAGAGCAAACCTGAGGTTCCTGCATGCAGTCTTGCTTCCCGTACACATGATGTCAAGCTAATTTTGAGGTGCAGTTGAAGGGCAAGCCGGCCCCCCTTTTCAAGACACTGGGGCCACCAGGGTTGCCTCTCCCCAGTTGGACTTTCAATTGTTCTTTGTATGAGCACTCCCTACCTTTTGTAATTATTTATGTTTACTTATGGCACTGTAGAGTGTTTAGCCCTGTGTGCAGTGATGCCACATCTCAGAGTTGTGTTGCTATATATTGTGGTGGTGTGGCCTCCTCAGCTAAGATATCTGTTGCATCTTCAGGCTAAAATAACACTCCAAGCTGTGTTTGTCTGAGCAAACTAAAATATATTGTGCTGCTTTCATGAAGTAAATCATGTTTGCATGGGTTATTGTCATTCCCGAATCTTTTCCCTTCTCTGACGCACACGGGTCCATCTGGCACAAGTCTCCTATCCCTGTCTCTGCAAGAAGTGATTGCTAAACTTCAGCTCCTTAACTGAAGGATCACAAAGAACTGGACAGGGGGCAGGAAGGAACTAATCAAAGTTAACGAGAAGTCAACATGACAGTCCAGCATTGAGGATTCACCCATCTGCTCTATTGTAGAGAGGCAGTGGAGCATGGAGGCGTGGGATCCTAGGCACTAATGATGGAAATTATACCTTAACACCATCTTGCTGTGCTTGGAGTAGCCTCTGCCTCAGCTAGTGTTAGGGAAAAGCCCTTGAATTGTGTAGGTCTGCCTAAGAACCACACAGAGAGCTTTGGCTAGGATCGGTATAGAAGTAAAATAAGTAATAAGTGTGTGTGCACATGCAAGGAATTGCTACATTATGAAGACTGCAGGAGTCCTCCTCCCTGCATTGCTTCAACTTTGTGTTTACAAAAAGCTGTAAAAGGTGGTGGAATACAGGTTTTTAAGATGTGCAGGGCAAAGTAATTGTTCTGCAGCTTGCAAGGCTTGGATGGAGTCAAGTCTCCACGGATGACACAGGAAACGAGGGGAAATGTTGCCTAAATATGTCTACTTAATTAGATGCTTGATTAGTCCCTAATTAAAAGTCCCAAGGGTGTGTCTATGGGGCTTTTTGCAAAGAAGGAAAAATGCCTGTCTCTATCTTTAACTTATAATTTGTGTGTGTTCATGTCTTCTTCCTGTGCCTCTGCCATGTTGCAACCAAATGATGTTCTCCAGATCAATTTTGCACAAAAGTGTAAATGTAACTTCCATAACAAACTTTTATTGCAGTGTTTGGGATATTTTAGTGCCCTTTTCCCCTTTTGATTCTTTTTTTAAATAAAAATTGGAATACTTCAGCAAATATGAGTAGGATAGAGTGTAATAAATGAATAGGCAAGTGTTGGCCTCTGATTAATATGGAATTATGTTGCCCATACAAATATAAGATGTGAAGATCTTATTCTCTAAGCTTGTGCACTTTCCGAATTTTCTCCATAGCCATGCAACCTAGAAATATTTGGTTGTCTCAGCACATATAGCAATGTGTAGGTTACTCAAAGCCTTGGCTGAGTTGAGAGGTCTTGTAGCCTCTAAGAACCAGTAATATAAACCAGCCCAGCATAAATCTTGTTACAATATTTTACAGAATCACTTGGGTATTTCATTATTTATTAAGGCATTGAGTCAACAGGCAATCCTGTTGCTTGTACCCTTGATATTCAAATTGCTCATATTTGGAGGCTTCTGATAATCTAACGCAGGGCTGGAAGAGTAAAGGAGAAGATCTTTGCCTCCCCCAAAGGGATGGGGGTTTTATACTCTCCTTACTCTTCTTCCCTCACCAACCACCAGCATGCCATTTTCCCCCTCTCCGAAGATAGTTTTCCAACCTCATAGGCCAGCAGGTGTGGTTCTTCCAGCTCTGGCTGCAAGGGAAGGGTCACTAGCTCCTCTTTCCAGGGGGGATCCCAAGTATCCTGTGTCCCCTCAGAAAATGTCTAAGGGGAATAGGATTGCTCCCCTTTAAACTATTATAATATTATTCCAGAGCAGTTTACAAAAGTTACATGAATTATTACAGTTGCTCAACTATCGCAGGATTAATTCCTTAAATATGTATACTTCAACAGAGCTCAATTCTTACATGGTGCCTGGCTTCTATACCCTTCCCCTGTGTCAGAAATGCGATTCTTTCCTCATTTGGTTTCTCCCTGGCTCTTGTGCATTTCCTTAACATCTTATTCAGATGTACGTTCCTGGGAAGCTTTCTGATGTTGGTCAAGTATTGATAGATGTAGGGACAGGTTACTATGTAGAAAAGGTAAGAAACAAGTGCTGTAGCTTTGCATGAAATTTAAGTCAGGGTAGCTTCGATTCGGATTAAATGGCAACTCCTGCATCTGTTGCACTCAGAACTGCTTAGTGTGGAAAGCATGGCTGTAAGCCCTGAAATGCTTTGGTGTGCTAGGGACTTGCAATGGGAGCTATAATTAAAATCTTGTCCAAATTTTTGTTGTGCTCTTTGGCAAGAGGTTATCAGTAGGCCCTCCTGGTCCCATCGTGTATCAGGTGTACGAGGTAGGAGAAACTGTGAGGTGGTTGAGATTGTACTTGCTTTGCCTTGCTGGCACACAACCATAGCTAGTGTCAAAATATCTGACATTACAAGAAAGGGCTTCTGGGCAAAGAATACTATGTTCAAGCAGCCCCTTTCATTTTACATACTCCTGTAGATTGTACCGACTAGTGTGGATGGGGGATCACAGCCCATTCGTCTGCATCAGAGATCGATTCTCCAACAGTCTCTGAGCACTAGCAGTTACCCAGCCATGCCTGAAGCATTTGTGAAAGAGTTGCAGTGTGGGTTGGGCTGTCAAAGTACAGGTTCTATGCTTCAGTAGGTGTTGTTTCCATGAAGTTCTTCGCCATCATTCTGGCTGATGCATACTTTTTGGTACCACTTGCCCTATTTGCATCAAATATGGGGGGGCTTTGAGAGAAGATGAGAATTGTTTCAAAAATGTGCCTTAAGCAAACTAGAACAGTGGTCAGGCATACCTCTTCAGGCAAAAAGTCTAACCAATTTCAAAGAAATTCAAGAGTTTCTTAACAAGGGTTTCACACATGCTTAGGGAATAAATGTATAACAACTCTGGGTATAAAGTGCTCAGGGAGAAAAAGCATCCTGAATATGAGGTATGCCAGTGTGGTTAAAGGTTTAGGTCCGCTTTTTCAAACTTGGATGCCTCCAGATGTTTTGGCCTGCAACTTCCCATTAGCCACACTTAGCATGGCCAATGGTCAGGATGATGACAGTTGTAGGCTAAAACATCCAGAGGAAGTGAGGTCAGAGAGGGGTGCTTTAAATAGTATTGAGTGTGCTGCTTTACCAGTTCTAGCACAGCATTCTTTATTTCCAAAGCCATCTTGGTGGTATGAAGGGGTCACAGTGCCTTTGATCTTGCAGTCAGTGGATGATGCCAGAGATTTCTTCAAGAGGAAGATTGATTTCCTGACAAAACAGATAGAGAAAATCCAGCCAGCACTGCAGGAGAAGCATGGAATGAAGCAAGGTGAGGGTATGGGGCAGGCAAAGACCTGGAGCTGGTTGCAGCTTTGCTGATCACAGTGCACAGCTGGAATGAGTTCTTAACTGTTTGTTTCTTGTTTGCAGCTGTGATAGAGATGATGAGCCAGAAGATCCAGCAACTAACAGCAGCAGGAGCTTCACAGGCAGCAGCAATGAAAGCCTAGCAAGAATGGATCCCTCATATGCCTTTAAAGTTCACCCATTTTTGTAATGTAACCCAAAATTGTGCCCCAGAGTGCAGTGCTCCAGCCAGCTGTGCAGCTGAGAGTGGAGAGAGGGAAGCTCACTGTTTGAATACATGTGGGATTTGAGTATGGCAGAACCTGTTCTGGAAAGAACACCTTGAGAAAGATCCTGTCCATTCAAACTGGCAGGCTTTCAGTCGCTCGGTTACTGAGGTGGCTATCTTGCAGGTTACAACATGAAATTATCTTTATTCTGAAACCCCGTGAAAACTTTGGTTGTAAATGAAATTGTACAAAATAAAGAGGTAGGATTACAGAGCAAGATGTATATGTGAATTGACTGGATGATCTTCAGAAAAGACAGTGGTGACTGGAAGGAACTAGGAGGTGGGCAACTATTGAAACTTTTTTAAATCTAATACCAGCGATACTCTGATTAGATGTATGAATGAAACAAATGTGAAGGAAAATAGCTCTAGGTTCAGGATTATTTATCTTTCTTCCTTAGCAGAGTCTTTCCCAACCTGGTGCCCTTTAGTTGTATTGGATGCAGCTACTCTAAACCCCAGCCTGCTAACCTTGGTTATAGCTGCAGTTCAATATATCTGGGGAGCACTAAGTTGGAGAACTCGAGCCTTAGCATATTTATTCAGAAACAAATCCCACAGGACTTGTTCAAATTTTTGAGTCAAAACCTTCCAACTTCCTCCTCTTGGCCACACCACAAGAGGTGGGGCATATGAGCCCCATTAGGAGTCCAGCTAGCCTCAGACATGCACAATCCCCGTACATCCTTTTCCAGAACAGCTCTGTAAGGGGCTCAATATCCTTTGCTTCCCTTTTAGGTTCAAATAGTTTATCCCTGTTCAGATGACATGAAAACATAGCATTAATTGAAAGAAACAAGCTTTAAGCAATAGGTTTTGAAGCTTGCTAATTTCAACAAACCAGTTAACCAGTTTAGAGCAGACAACTTTCTAGGGCAGTGGCCACATTTGGCAGTTTGAGAAATTGTCCTGAGCTGCCATAGGAGGTGTATCGCAGGGCATATATCCTGCCCAAGAGACTGAGTACAATGCAGGGAGAGGGTCTGAGTCGTGGCACATACGCTACACATTTGAATCTACTTTTCAAAACCTATCTCACAGTAATTGCAGCTGCCTGGAAGAATGTTTGTTAATTTAAATCCAACAAGCGAGAGGAAGGGCAGGGCACCTTAGTGGCCATGAAAATAGGTCTCCAGGAATACCACATAATCTACTCCTGCTTTAGGGTTTGCACACAAGAGCATTAAGCCAGTTAGTTTAAAGCAGAAACATCCAGTTTCCTCATAGCCACACCAGAGTGGAAAGGAGTATGCAAGCCTAAGGTTGGCCATCTGATTTGGTCTTCTGTCTGGACACAGCTATAAAGCTCAGAGGGCCTTAATGCTTTTCATAATGATTTGCTTAGTACTGCAGCCTTAACATACCTAGTTAAGTCCACAACCCAGATCTGTGTTGTATGACCCTAATTCCCTGTTTTTCACTTTGCTTTTAATGTGCATTTCAAAGGCTTACATTCATTTGCTCCTTATAATTTTAGCACTTTATTTCCACATGAGGGTACAGTACACTGAAAGACAGCGACTCACTGTATACATGTGACACTGTGAGCAAGCATGTATTACAGTGCATGGGAAGGGCCCATTTGTTAAAGAATCATCACAGGTTATTCCCCAAGGACATTTTTGTTTATAGATTCCCTCATAACTAGAGCCCTTTAAAAATTCTTCAGTAAATCCTACTCTTATTGTTTGAGGGTCTAAGCATAAAAGTAGACATCAAGGATGTTTATGTTTACATAAAAATGCATTTCTTCCTCTACCACAACAAAGTTATTCACCTACTGGAGCCACCTTCAGCCTGGTGTTTTCCAGGTGTTTTACACTTGAGCTTCCACTGATTAAGAATCCAGGGAGCTGTAGCCCAGTACATCTGGAGGGTACCATGTTGGGGCAGGCTGCCTTCCTGTGGTCAAAGCCATGGGGCTTCAAACTATGGCCTGTGGAACAGATCCGGCCCACACCGCTGCCCCCCACCCACACGCGTGCTTGCCGCACAGGTGGGAGGTGGTGGCTTGCTCTCACTTGGAGATGGTTGGGAGATCTCCCAGTGAATTCAAAACCATCTCTGAGCAAGCAACCTGCCGCCCCACACACGCATGCTCATGCACACCCGATGAAGCCTCACCGGCCCGCACGCCCAGCTCCCCCCTCACTGGCCTGTGCGTGTAGCTGCCACCTTTCAACTGGTCTCCTGTTGAAAAAGTTTGAGGACCCCTGGTCAAAGCAGTCTCTTGGTTGCTGAAGCGGTCCAGGGCTGGTCATTGGTGCTTCTGAGCATGCCTTCTTGCTCTTTCCTCCTTTATGAGTGAACAAAGAGGCAGCATATGTGCCCCACCAACTCCTATTGTAGGCAGCAGCATCTCAGGCACCAGGCAGGTGGTCAGGGGGAGCCCAACAGCCTAGATGCCATGAATGGGCAATACTCAGTCCCCACAGCTGGGCAGGGCACTGAATGGTTCCATGAAGAAGTGGGCAGGAAGGGAAGATGCCCATATCCAGTCAGTGGCAAATGGGAAGGAGGTAACAGATTGGAATGACTTTTGGTTCCCACTCAGCAGAGCACACTTTCATTTGAGTATGTACAGGCTATGTAAAAAATTAAGTCTGCATGTGTGAATCGTGAGTGTGGGCAATGTGGCACCAACCAGCCAGAACAGTCACCTGGCCTTTTTGGTATTGCAGATCCATCACCTAGACACTTCCATTTCTGACACAGTAGCCAGGTTTCAATAACAATTGTACAGAACAGGAAGTAGTTAACTGGAGATAGAGAAACCAGCACTCCTGAGAGAAGGGGATGCAGAAAATTTTATTGACAAGGCTGATTTCAACCTCCCTCCCCCACCCCAAAACTGCCCTCACATCTCTGTTTGCTAATTATCTGTGCCCCTTCCCTGAGGCAACTTAATTCTGCTGAGCAGTACTCTCCCTCCTGGAATTCTGTCTTCCATCCAAAGCCCAAGAAGCCTGATTTTGACTGGTTCTCTTCTCCCTCCCTCCCCTTGTAGAGCTCTAGATAGGCTTCTAACTAAGGAATTGCCCCCACATTATGTACAACAGTAGGGTCTCCGGGTCTCAGAAGGTAGGTGGGGATTATGGCTGTGCAGGGTTTGGGCACCACAATCAAAGCTCTTTCCCAAAACACCCCTGAAGTCCAAGCTCTGTGCCAATCTCTTTCCTCTTCCCTTTGTTGCTGCTCGGTGGTTTTGCACACTGGTTCTCAGGTCCTGCGGCCTGGCCAAGGAAGACTCAGATTGCAGTCAAAGAGCCACCCTGGACTCCCACCTGTGGCCGAAGCTGTCAACCTGGGTGTACAGTTAGACTGTGGCCAGAGTGGGCCAAAGCCTCAACGCACAAAGATCGGCTTGTGTACGCGCTTGTGCCGGATGAGTGTGGTACTCTTTGTGAAGCACTCCCCACATTCCACACAAATAAAGGGCTCTGATGGGGTCACCCCATGGTGGGCGACACGGTGACGCTCCACCTCCGAAGGGGCACGGAAGCGCTGCCCGCACTCCGGACAGGGGTGGCCAATGGGGGAGTCCGTGTCGTGGCGAAGGCGCTGGTGCTTGACCAGGCCGGCAGTGTGCGCAAAGCCCCGGCCACACTCCGGGCAGCGGAAGGGCCGGGCGCCCGTGTGTGTCCGCCGGTGCTTGGCCAGGTTCTTGCTCTGAGTAAAGCTGCGGCCACAGTCCCCGCAGGTGTAAGGGCGCTCGCCGGTGTGGATGCGCTGGTGCTGGATGAGGTTGGAACTCCAGCTAAAGCTCTTGCCACAGTCACGGCAGACGTAGGGCTTCTCACCCGTGTGCGTGCGCCGGTGCTGCACCAGGTGAGAGTTCTGAGAGAAGCTCTTGCCGCAGTCGGAGCAGGTGCTGGGGCGCTCCCCCGTGTGCGTGCGCTGATGCCGCAGCAGCTTTGACCAGTGGCTGAAGCTCTTGCCACACTCATTGCAGATGAAGGGGCGCTGCTTGCCGGGCCGTGAGATGACTGCAGGGGCTCCCACGACCTCGCCGTCGCCGTAACTGCCAGGGGCCAGCGGGCCCCCCTGCCGTTCTGCAGCTGACCCGTCCTGCTGGGAATTGGCCTTCCAGTTCGGCTGTCCATGTGTGGTGGGCTGGATGGACTCATGTTCCAGGTAATCATCCTCACCCTCACTCATCGCACCTTTGTCAGCTGCAGGGGAAGAGAGCCATGCACATCCATCACAAGAGTAATGCAGCAGCAGCTGCAGGGTGCCCAGGTGTTTAAAAAGGGCCCTCTTATGGAATCTTGCACCCTCTTATGGGCAGGGCTGTATGTCACAACGGCCACGTGCAGCCCTTCAAACACTGCCAGACTACAGCTCCCATCACCTCCACCCACTGGCGATTCTGGCTGGGGCTGAGAGGAATGAAAGAGTCCCCAACAACTGGAAGAGTGCAGCCTCCCCAACCTTCCGTGAGGTACCTGTGTTAAAAAAAATCCTGTACCCAAGCAGTTCAAATGTTATGCAGGAGCCACTTATGCAACTTGCATTAATTATGCTCTGCACATTTTTCCCAGTCTGCATAGTTTCTTCTTCCATCCTTATTACATTTTTGTAACTGGCTGAGCAAAGCAAGTTCGGCATTCTTTGTCTGTAGTCTGGCAAACTAAAGAGAAAGATTCTGCAATGAATTTTTCATTTTGCATCTGTCCAAAAACATGCTCTACTTTTCAGATTCATATATTCCTTTGTTCCCCATCTTTCTAGCAAGATAAATGGCACTCAGGGTGACTTATAAATAAAACAAGATTAAAATAATAACACAATCACTATTTATTTACATTAATAGCCCACACTTTTTCCTCTTGCAAGGAACCCAGGTCAGCTTACATGGTCCCCTTCCAGTTCAGCCACCCACTTGACAGCCTTGAATAGTCCAACTGGGCATTTACACAGATGGCAATCTCCCATCTGAAGCTGGCCACCTGCTCACCCCCTTGTGCCCATTTTCAAGGAATGATGTAACATATGCAGTCATGCAAAATCTGAAGCAAGGCCTCTTCAACACATTCGCTAAACCCTGATAAGGAACTAAGAAAGATGGAGAGCTTCCGAACTTCCATATAGCCTGAAGTGCCTGATCCTGCCTAATCTTGGAAGATAAGCAGTGTTGGGCTGGACTGAAATCTGGATGAGTGACTTGAGTCCTGCACCGAGCAGGCAGTTAGATCTGATGGCCTGCTAGGCCCCTTCCAGCTCTGTGATTCTATGAGAGTACTCAAGTTCTACCTTCAACCTCTACAAATCTTAATCACTCTTCAGGCTGCTGAGTTTAGCAAGCTTTGTCCACTTTATATCTACACAGTAATGAGAACTCCTCCTCCTCTGTCCCAATTACCAATACCAGGCAAGGAGGCTAGATTCTGCACTCGATATCATGTGCTGTGCCTTCACTGTGCTTTAGCAGATTAATGCAATGTGCACAACTCTGCTTGCAAATAGGAAACAGTGGATTCGTGAGGAGCCACACTCGCTCAGATTGCCATCTCCATGTCCAACAGCACTTGCTGGCTGAATTGTTTACCCTCCTTTCTTGGGAAACAGCTTCTACTGCCTGGACTGGCAATAGCGGGCATTTTAGAAATATGTTTATATTTTCTTACTGGAACGGCTGAAGTGAAGTGGGAACCTCTTGCTACCACCATCTTGATTTCCCATGAACAGCTCTGGGAGTACTCCATAGCTATTAAAAAACCTGCTGAACTCTACCAGGCAGAGAGAAGTCTCATTATATATGGGCACACCACTACGAAGCATGTACATATGTAGTGTATGTGGAATATGACCTAAATATACAACAACTGAAGGCTAGTGAATAAACTTACTGAAAGAGCTGAGAGCTATAACATGCAAAGTATTGTGAAACACTCCCCACATACACGAAGTTCTACATTACTGGATATAAGTGCATCTTTCTAAATAAATACCATAGTGACAAAGAAAGCAAAATGACAGGCAATGGCAATCATATTCTGCTTCACTGAATCTAAGAGACCTTGAAAGAGGGTGTGAAGCAGTGATTAGATTATCGGCCTAGGACTCAGGAGAGCCAGGTCTTAGTTCCTACTCAGCCATGAAGCTCACTGGGTGACTTTGGGTCAGACACTGATTTTTAGCCTCACCTGCCTCACAAAATTAATTGTAAAGGAGGAAGAGGATCATTTAAGCTGCCTTGGGTTCCTTACAAGAAGAAAAAAATGAGATATAAAGATAATAAATAAATAAAGACTTCATTAGGTGCTGTTGCTAATTAGCCAAAAGTGTGGATTCATATACACACATCTTTTAGTTCTTTTCCAGAAAGGACAGTAAGCTCCCTAAAAGCCAAAGTCTTCTTTAAAAACTTTCTCAAATTCTCTCCAGTAACACAAAGCCAAGACAAGTCTGTTGTCTGCTGTTTAATATTGGCAAGAGTAATAAAATGGGCATACAAATCTGCATATCAGGATCCAGAGGTTAAAAAGCGTGGAGGTGTCCACTTGAGCATTTATTTCTTGCCCTGTAGTGTTTGCAATGGGTGTGCTCCTTTTCTTCAGCTTGGTGGGCAACTTCAGGAGGGGTGAGGGTCATTCATCCTTGTTTTTGCAGGTTGTACTCTTGCACTCCCAAAAAAATTGGGAGGGGAGTAAAAAATAAAAACAAAATGTCATTTGTAACTGCTACAGAGTCCTAGGAGTGTCAAAATTAGCAAACAAGCAAGCTAGTTTTGACACTTTTGGTGTGCCATAGCAACTCTGGAAGCCATTTTGTTTGATTTTTTTGGTTAACATTTATTATATTATTTATTTCAATTTGTATGCTGCTACAACAGCCCATATCTGGGCTCGCTGTTTTGGGGTGTTCCAAATTTCAGGGGGTGGCAGGGGGCTGGCCCTGCAGGTCTGGAGGCTGCAGGTCACATCTTGCTCACCCATGGGTAAGAGTATTAGAGGAAGGGAGAGTCCTAGGTTCAAATTGCCACCCAGTCAGAAAGCCTACCAGATTTTGGGCTGGTTTTTATACTCCCTAAGTCTATAGGATTGTTGGGTAAATAATATGGGAAGGGAGATGGACATTGTATTCAGCCCTTGTCTCCTTGAAGAATGGGCAGGATATTCACCCAAGATTCTGTAGCTGGCCCTGAGGGTGTCCCTTGTGTAAACTCCCCTTGAAATCCTACCAGCTTCTGAGCTGTGGATGTCCACACTGCCTGGATGTTCATGCTCCATCTCAAAGGGAAGATTTTTTCAAGCCAGAATGCTTCTGTTCTAGGGAAAATAAGAAATGGTTAGAGAAATGGTCCAATATTTGCAGGGTTGGTATTAAGATACACAAAATAGCAAAGCTGGGTTAAAGAGCAAGACTGGCATGCCCAGCTATGGTCTGAAGTCACATGGACTCCCCTTTGATTGTCTCTTCTAGTGGGCTTCACGGCAGCACAGAGAGGCCTACATAGCTCTCCTAATCTGTGGTCTTCCACTGGTGTGGGGTTGACTTGGACACAGCAAAGCACCAGGGCTGAGGACCACAAGGAAGCCACATTTCTGCTCCAGATGACCTGCCCCGTAAGTGCAAATGGGTGGAGGCAGCTCAGCACTCGCCCCAATGTACTTGACACATGTTAAGAACTTCCCTTTGAACTATCTCACGTGTTCCAAGGGTTGAGCCCCAACCTTGAAATCTTACCAGATATGCCAAAGGTGAGTTATCCCAGATCCACAGTACACAGAACAGCTTCCCCCAGCTGAGTGCCCTTCTCATGCAGTGGACTGTCACTCCAATGCTTGGCCTCAACACACCTGGAGGGCACAAGGCTGGGACACAGTATGACCCTGACCTGTATTATAAGCACCATCTCTGGTTGCGAACATGAGAATTCCTTCTGTATCATATGATGGGGAATGAGCTCCTTTGTTCTGAATTACAGGAAAAGTGTAGGGCAGCTGTACCCAATGCTGGTGTGTTCTAGATATATGGGCCCACAACTACCAGCTTCCTTAAACCAGATGAGGGTGATGGGAGTTGAAATCCAAAAGACCTACAGGACATGAGGCAGGTGCAGACTCAGTCTTTTCACATGGGCCAGGAAGCCAAAGGAGCTGCCCAGGTCCCCTGTAAGAATTTGCACAAGCAAAAGCTCGTTTTTTGCTTTTCTCCACTTTAGCAGGTAGCTTCTATGCTTTCTCTCAAGCTGCTTCCCCAAACCCACATCAGGAGCATGCAAATATGTGCCATCCTGGCTTGAAAACATATGGCTTGGGTATGCCCAAACCAAATTATAACTTTCTGTAGTCTAGTCGGCAGTTACTGGTGCCCTAAGGGGCAGGAGGACAACCAAGCACTGAATTAAAAAATACAGGCACTGTATGTATGTATCCATCTCAAGAGTAATTCTTTGTAGAATCAAAAACACACAGCCCTGGAAGAGATGCACTACACCACCAAATATAACCTTGGCCCACTTCCCACTAAAGTCGGACATGAATTATCAAGTCAAATCCAGTGCCAGAAGTTGGCAAAGCAGGAACTCCCAAAATGCCCCTGAGGAATAACTGCGTGCTCATCTCCTGTGATATAGCCACTTAGGGCATGAGGTAAGCTTGCCAGTTCTTCCAGTATAGATGATCATGGCCATAATATCACTTTAAAGAACAAACATTAAAAAATAGCATTTCCACCACTGATTTCTGCATGCCAAGTTGCTTAGAGCACAACAGCAGGAATCAGTTTCCTTCTCTGATTAGTTGGCAAGGCAGATTTCCCCTTTTCAACATGCCCACATATATGGCAATCTGAAGCCCTGCACCAACTATCATCCAAGGATTATATGGCCACTAGCAACAGGTCCTTTTCATCTGTGGCACCCAGATTCCTACCCCAGGGAGGTCCTTCTGGATTCTTCTCCTTCAGGAAACAAGTTAATAAGGCAATGCTGCTTAACAATGCTTTGGAGGGAGGGAACAGATTGCTCTTTGCAGATGCTTCCGTTTTTGTTTCCAGCTTGGATTGTTCTCAGTCATGGTTATATCTTGGTTTCCTGTTTTACTTTTGCTTTACATGGTATCAGAAACTTTTGCTTTACGTGGTATTTGTTGGTCACCACTTCCAGAAGAAACTCCCTCCCTGTCTCCTGTCCCTACTGCAAGCAAACAGGAAGGGCACAATGTGTACAGCAGGGAACAAGAATGGGGCCTTCATGGGACATAAGCCAGGAATAATATAATTGAACCAGAGAGCCAGTGCAGAACACTGGTTAGAATGTTGGACTGGCACTCCAAAGAACTGGGTTCTAGTCCCCACTCAGTCATGAAGCTCACAGGGTGACTTCGGGCTAGTCACAGGCTCTCCACCTAATCCTCCTCACTGGGTTTATTTTATTAATTTATTTAAAACTTTTATATGGGTGTTGTTGTAAGGATAAAATGGGGAGGAGGAGAATCTTGCAAAAGTTGGGTCCCTTAGAAAAGGGTGAAAGGTGGGTTATTAATACACTAACAGTAATGCTGCTCTGTATAATGCTCTTGGGTATGGGACAGGAGCTAATGGGGAAGGTGAGCACCTGACAGGCAGATGAACCCGTCCATGTCAGGGGCTGGAGAGTCTGAGCACATGCACAAACACACACATGCACACCCACAGAAACTTTGCATGCTGTTTGTCCGCTGATTTATTTGTAGCCTCTTCTTATGCAATATTTAAGCACCAATCCTTCATGGACAATTAGTTACAGTGCAGTCCTATTGACTTTCCTGAATCTCTTGGAAAATTTTGATACTGTCAACCATAATATGCTCAATTGACTCTGGGAATAGTAAAAAATAGTGATATGACTTCTTATTGTAGGATCTTTTCCAGGCAGTGCCTGGTGGTGGAGAGGACTTCCTGCTCAATTTGCCCTTTGAGTCAGGTGAGGCAGGGTTAGTGTTGGACTGGTGCTTGGAAGCAGTAGTGGAGTGGATATGGGCCAGTAAACTTGGACGAAATCCTGACAGCTGGTGGCTGGGAGGTTCTTGGGTCTATGAATGAGATAAATGGCTATTCCACATGGGGTTGCATTATCCCCAGAAAAGCAGGCCTGAGATGCTCTCTGATCCAATTGAACCATTGCAGAGCCCTTTGAGCCGAACCCAATAGTGTCCACTCTTCCTCAGTGAAACATGCAACCACCTCCTCAAAGGTCAACAGACCCAGTATGGCAAATGCATAGCAACTCTTTCCACCCCTTCATAAATTGGAAAAGCAAATGAATTGCTGACCCTGTTCTGTCACCAAGCAGAGAAGCAGCTCCACACAGTTCTCCTGAGCAGTGGCAATTGTGTGCTGGCCAACGCAGCCTTCTCTCTGTTGGAAAACCAGGTAGCTGCTTAGACCACCATGCCCCATATCTGCTCCCCTTGCTGCATTTCGACTGCTGCTTGGGAACAGCTTGCCATTGCTCACTCTATGACCCAGGCCTCCATCTCCAGGGGCGGATCACATAGGACCTGCTCATGGAACACCCAGCCCAGCCTCTGAGCTTTTGGCTCCTTTTCTGGCTTTGGCCCATAAAGACAAAGATGGTAAGAGCTAGCTACAAAACTCCCAGGGGCTCTACCCCTAATGGGAGCAAAACTTCGAAGTGCTCCTACTGTATGTTTTGGTGGGTGGCAGAGTTGGCACCTCTTGCTGAAGTCACAAGCCCTTCTGTATGCATCTGTTACACTTATCAGATGGAAATATGTTTTGTAAGAAGCATTGCAACTGGGGCACCTCCCAAATCAGGGAAACTGACTTTTCAGTTCTGGCTCTTTGGCCTAAGCCAACAGTATAACCCAGAGCAAAACAGGAACCTCTTTCTATACCCACCCAAATGCTGTCACCAAATAATATGGCATATTGAATCCCCATAATAAATGCATTATCTAGTTTAGTATGCAGTATTTTAATGGTGTGTTATTCATTAATGAACCATGGATACCAACTGACTGCATCAGTAAGTGCACAATCTTCTACATGTTTAGACAGGAAAAAAAAATCCTACAATTTCCAGTGTACCCTGCCAGCCATGCTAAGTGGAGTACGTTTGGAGTTCTGGAATCTTCACTTGTCTATAAATGCATACAACTACACTTGAAACTTTAACATTAATTGAATCCAAAGGAGAATCTTGGTATCTCAGGAAATTACACATCATCATAGTATTGTAAATATTATTTATGGTAACTGAAATCAGATGAAATTAACATTTCATTATCCAAACAAAACTAATCATTGCAATAGCAAATGAATTATCTAATATTTAAATAGGTACCCTACTTGAATAACTTCATCCTTGCTTTTATTTTGGCAAGCTGACTTTTTGCTGACACTATACTTTGGCTTGTATATAAATGAAAAGCCAGCACTTTTTAGAGCACTGGGTTGTTGTGAATGACCCAGCATGCTAGTTCACACTACTCAATTTCTCCCAGCAAAAGCAGCCAAGGAACCCAGGGATTCTCCATACCTTGGCTGTTTAATGTGAGACCCTATCTTGGAACTCTGACTTTCCTCACCTGACAAGCTACGATTGGAACTCAGGACAAACCTGGTAAATGTGCCATTTAGCTGCTCTATTTAGCTGCTGACACTGACAGGAGCTGCCAAGCAGAAACAATTGAACAGCATGAATTAGTACCATGGCTCATTTATAAAAGTCCAGGATTTTTAAAACCAGGGTTGTAATTATATGAAAACCAGGCCTATGATACATTGGTTAAACATTGGAAGTTTTTAGGAAATCTTTTACCAGTTTCAATTTACTGACGATGCACTCATATGATGCAGCCAAACATACTTATTTTATTTAATTTAAAGATACTGCATTTATAGCCTGCTTTGTTTTCTCTCTCTCAAAGCATTTTGGGAACCTCATCTTCCTCTCTCCCACTATGGCCCACCACTTCCCCTACTTAAAGTGCATCACTTGGACTAGCCTGCTGGAAATTCTGGGAAGGGGCTTCTTATTTGACTCTGTCCTGCCTGAAGGTTAAAGGGGAATGATTGAGCAGGTGCTCATATATATATGTGAGAACAGCAACACACACTAGACTTCTTTCAAAAACTCAACTATGTTATTATTACAATTCATCGAGGAAATCCAAGAGGAAAAGAATTCAAACTGGAGGAAAGGAAGTAAGTGCAGCATAGCTAAGAATTGTCCCAGGTTTCATCTAGGCTCAAGGTTGTTCTGGCCTCTGAAGAGATTGCAGAGGCCCCACCATTCTTTCAAGATGCAAAAGTAGGACTGAGTCTTCTGTTTCACTCCCATGGCCTGTGAGTGGAGACAGAGTACAACAAGTGCAAGTTTTTTTGTTTACTAACCTTTGAAAATAAACCATTATGGTAGGAACTCTCAACTTTGTGGGGCTCTAGGGCAATTGCCTCCTTTGTCCCTTCTCTCACATACACCCTCAAGCCAATCCTGGGAAAAATAGGTCCATCCTTTTTAATAATATTCAGGCAAATGGATATTTGTGCAGAAGCAGATATAAAGAGTAACCAATACAGGAAACCCCAACTTGTTCTGAGTAGGAACTAAAGCCTGTAATCTGATTTCCAAAAAGCTGCATAGTCAAACCTTTGGTGTTCAATGTAGCCTCAAAACAAGGTTGCTACATGTAAATTTGGCACAATATCCAGATTTGGGGGGGGGGGGGCGACCATTACAGCATCGATGAACTAGCTGCAACCAGGTATATGCACAGGGATCTAGCACTGCTGAAGACAAAAAAGTATTGTAAAACAGGGCCCTCATACCTACAGCTATTACCCCTAATTATATCAAACTGCAACTAAAAATACCAGAATCACTGTATTAACTCACTGCACCCAGCACGGGGGGTTGGATGCAGATTTCGGTCCATACAACTTGACTGTGGATTTAGACCTTGCCCTTTCATCCCCATGTCAGCACCTCTGGCTCCCTACTACACAGATCCTACTGAATGGGATGAGCTGTAGGGAGGACAGAGGCACTTTTCACGAGTAGAGTCCTTCCACCACAGAAGACTGATCCTGGATCCAACCCAAGGACACTCAAAGACCAATATATTTCTTCTTCTTATACCCCAATAAGCCTCAGTCCGATACACACTTTCCTGGGGTTAAGTCCCAGAGAACGCAAGGGAGGGCACTTCTAAGTAAGTAATCCTGTGTTGAACTATACTATAAATCTGCTAATGTTTCTAATTACTTAATATTACAGAGACTACTTTTTAAATGAAATCTTATTTTTGAAAAGGGAAGACAGACTCACACCACCTTTGCAAATTGATTCGTATTGCTCCACTCAACATCTGCCCCGTAGGATAAGGAATTACCCTCCTCTCCCTCTTACTCAGCCCTACAAACCTCCAGCAGGATACCCTGAAGTCAGCGCAGAAGCACCCAGGGGCCGTAACTTTTAAATGACAGCTTTCCCTATAGCGCGGGGTGGCCATCTTGGGATCGAGCAATGTCATTTGGGGCAGCAAGCGAGCAGGAGGTGTGAGGGAAACGAGCAGAGAATGCCTCTCGAAATGTTGAGATCTTAAAAGCAGCTCGAGATCTTAAAAGCAGCTCTACATCTCAGAAGAGAAAACCATTGCCAGCTTGCACCGGAGGGAGAGAAAGAGAGAGATCGCAAGCGAGGAGGAGGAAGAGGAAGGAAACTATAACCAAGGATCGCAGTCGAAAGAGCTGATCAACCCAAAACCATGCAATCTTTTGCGTTGCGACTGACTGGACAAAGCAACGTTGCCCACTTGCATGGGGAGGGCGAGGAGGTCAAAGGAGAATCCATTCCCCAAATCACTTCCTAGAGACAATTATCCCCCCTCTCCTCCTTCTGACCCCCCCCCCATTCCTCGATTAAAAACTCACTTGCCCCGGGGGTGAAGGAGGCGAGGGAACCTCCCTGATGCTTCTAAGCAGCGAAGGAAGGCTTACCCAAGGCAGCGATCGCACTAAAGCTCAACTCCCAGCTCAAGTCAGGGGGCCGCTGGGAACAGGAAGGTCCCAGTTTTAATTTAATCCCCTATTCCTCCTCCTCTCGGCTGTATTTCCTGGTGATCGCTAGGAAGAGGGAGGAACTGGTGCCTCTATGGTTGAGGCGGCTATCCCTAAATGCTCTTTCTTAGACGGGAAGATTCAGTCATTGTATGTATGTGTATTTGGCTCTCTCCCCATCCCCACTGCAGGGATGGGGGTTACGGATTCACTCCTGCAAAAAAGTAGGTGAAAGACTCGCTTTCTTGGTTAGGAAACCCGCGGCGGTGGCTTGCTTGTTACAAACGGTTAGCAAAACCCATTTGACGAAGGGCGCAGGAGATTCCCTCCGGGATCAAAATAGGAAGTGTGCACCGCAAGCTCTTGGATTATAATGAACGGCGTACTTGCTTGAAAGTAAGTTTCTCCGATCTGACTTAGTGAAAATTTACTAGAAAGGGAAATGTGGGTGTTCCGCGCAGTTATCCTTTTCGGAATATTATTTATATATTATTAATACATATATTATAATAAATATTATAAATTAGCCATGTTAAGTCTTCGGAATACAAGTCCAAGAATTAAACATAGCACTGTCAGGGTCTCCTTACCAATGGCGGGAATGAACACTCGGACGTGCAGTAAGATTGAATCGCCTTGCACCGCAGCGTTTTTATTGGTGAGATCACCCAGGCTCCCTGCAGTTACGACAGCAAGCTATCGGGTAGTGGTCTCCACCGCCAACTACAAGCTTTTAGAACATATACAGAGTGTTTTATATGTTCTGAGTCACATGACATAGCCGCAGGGTGGATAATGACAAGGGGAACACAATCAAAAGAATGTGAGAGATCTGGCTCAATACAATAGCCTTGATTACAGAAGATTAACGATCACTGGGGCACCGGGATTATTGTGGGTCTTGGCATGCAAATGAGGGTGATTTTAGTACTGCTAGAAGAACCCGTCAGGCCGCCTTATCAGTTTTATTCGCTCTTAGCACAAGAATAGATAGGCGTTAACTTTCCTTGGGAGCCCCATTCTGCAAAGGTTTTTCCAACCAAGGTAGTAGCCATCTCTTAAAGCAACAGCTTTGAAAATAACACTAAACAGAAGCCTGTATTGTAATTCTTTCTGAGAAATCATGGAAGAGATGTTCCAGGTTTGATTTTATAACACAAATAAGCAACCCTTTTCTACCAGGATTTATCTGAATTTTCCCAACAGCCACCATGCCTACTGACTTGGAGATGTAAAGAACTTTATTCAGGTTCAAATTTATTTAATTGGTTTTAATTCTCTCTTTTTCTAAGAACTGCTCCCTTTAATTAGTTGAATTCCTTCTTAAGAAACTGAAGTTTGTAGCTTATTTAAGAAGCAAAAAATCTCACTTGCAGGCAATTTTTATGAGCTAGTTACAGCATTTGTAGAGGAATGCTGACACAGCATTCCTTCCACTAGAAAAATTTCTTCTCTGTTACTGTTAAATGCCATCAAGTCATCTCCAACTTATGGTGACCCTATGAATAAGCACCCTCCAAAATGTTCCATCCTTGACAGCCCTGCTCAGCTCTTGCAAATTCAACGCTGTGATTTCCTTTATGGAACAGATGCATCTCATATTTGGTCTTCCACTTCTTCTGCCTTTGACTTTCCCTGGCATGATTGCCTTCTCCAGTGTGTCTTGCCTTTTCAAGATATGCCCAAAGTATGACAGATTCAGTTTACTCTTCACTTTTTGCTTCTGGGAAAGTTCTGGGTTGATTTGATCTAGAGCCCACTTAGCAAAGTTCTCCTCCAGTACCCTGTTTTGACCACATCAATTTTTTTCCTGTCAGCTTTCATTTCCATACATAATGATGAAGAATTCAGTAGTGTGAATAATCTTGGCCTTGGTCTTCAGTGAAACATCCTTATATTTTATTATCTTTTCTAGTTCTTTTTTCGCTGCCCTTCCAAATCACAGTTGTCTTCAAATTTCTTAGTTGCAGTCTCCCTTTGAATTGATGACTGTGCCAAAATAGGCAAAATCTTTCACAACTGTAATTTCTTAATTGTCATGATTTTTGATATCTTAGTGTTCAGCTTCAGTCCAGCTTTTACACTTTCTTTTTTCACTTTCATCAGGAAAAGTTTCAATTCATTGCTGCTTTCTACTAGTACAAAGGTATCACCTGTCTATCTTAACTTACTGATGTATCTTCCACCAGTTTTCATACCTTCTTCTTTTGACCTGAAACCAGCTTTCCTTATAAAATTTTTTGCAAATATATTGGACAGGGCAATAAAATGCATGCTTGTTTGATGCCTTTGCCCACAGGAAATCATTCTGTTTCTCCATATTCTGTTCTAACTGCATCAGGACAATCAAATGGTAGGGCACACCCATTTCTTTCGGAACTATCCATTACTCCTCATGATCCACACAGTCCTAAGCTTTGCTATAGTCTATGGAATGACGATCTTCCAAAATTCTTTGGTGCACTCCAACAGCCAACATATATTTGTGATATGATCTTGAGTGCCCCTTCCTTTTTGGAATCCTGCTTGAATATCAGGCATTTCTTATTTTATATATAGTAAAATTCCTTATTGCAATACTTCAAGCGTCACTTGCCTTGCATGGAAAATTAAACTCCTTTGCATCTCTTTTCAAAGGGACTGAAAGGATTGGAGTATTATATGTTTCTCGCCTGAGTGCTATTGTTTCGTTTTCCATATTTTTTTTAAGGATTTGGGCAGATTCTGTCATTGCAGCTTGGAATATTTCTATTGTACCCTATCTGCTCCTGTTGCTTTGTCCCTTCTAAGTGCTTTCACAGCAGGCTTCATTTCACTTTCCAATATTCCATTTTCTTTCTCATGGATTCCTCTTCAAAGGAGTCTCTCTTTTTATCTCTTCTGCATATTTCTTCTGTACATTCTTTCCACTTTCTCTATATTTTATCCTGGTCAGATGGTATGTTCCTCTGTTAGTCTTTCAACATTCCTGACCTGGGTTTGAATTCTCTTTTGGCTGCTAAATTTTCTGGAAGAGGTCACTTGGCCTTTGCTGTTTTGTTGTTCTCTTCTATTTCTTTGCACTGGCCATTGTAACAGACCTTTTTGTCTCTATGTGATAGTCACGCAAAAGTTGCATTCAAGTTTCTGATTCTATTTCTGTCACCTTTTGCTTTTGCTTCTCACTTGCCCTTAACAATTGCAATTGTTAAAAAAACAATTTCTGCTGTCACCCATCTAGCCTTTTTCTTTCTTTCTGCTGCAGGATGATGATGATGACAATGATGATGATTTTGGTGCATTCTTTCCCTGAAACCATGTCTTTGGTTTCAGTCCACAGTTCTTTTGGTTCACAGTCAGTTGATATTAGTATTTTTGTTCTGTACATCTCCAGAATAGGCATTAATGTCAGATATTAAAAGACTGGTCATAGCTAGTTCTATTGATTCTACAGACCCTTTCAAGGTCCAGAGATTTCAAAGAAGAAAAGTAGGCTCCTTTGGGGTCCTTCCTTAGGGATGTTGGTAGACTTGAGAGTAGACATATGAAGCAAATGGCACCTTATTGTATCCAAAGTCTGGGGTAGAAATTATCTGTGGAAATGTCAAAAGCTGCGGTATCTGTGCTTAGTGTCAGAGTCTCTTTACCAACTGGGAGAATGAACACTCGGACCCGCAGGGGAGATTGAATCACCTTGAATCCCAGTGTTTTTTTTGGTGAGATCACCCAGGCCCCCTGCAGTTACTTAAGCTACTGGGTAGTGGTCTCCACCGCCAACTACAAGCTTTTAGAACATACATAGGATGTACATACACAGAGTGAATATACACAGTGTCTGTGTGACATGACATAGCAGCTGATGAAGCAATGACAAAATAAGGGGAACACAGTGAAGGTGTATGTGAGAGAAGGAACGCAGTGGCAGTGCAGTGAGGACTATGAGAGGTCTGCAGAGGAGACTTAATACAAATAATAGCCTTGATTACAGGAGATTAACATAATGATCACTGAGGCACAGGGATTATTGTGGGTCTTGGCAATCAAATGAGGGTGATTGCAGTGCTATTAACCTGGCAGCCTTATCAGCTCTTACTGTTCAGCAAAAACAATAGCCCTGGCAGCTTCTCAGGCAAGCTATGAGTTCCCACTTCTTAAAGTAACAGCAAATACTGAATCAGGGGTCCTCAGACTTTTTCACCAGGGGGCCAGTTGAAAGCTGCCAGTGCTGTGC